TTGAAGTAGGAAAGTCAAAATCCAAATGGTTTCAAGAGAAGCAACAAAGAAGTTTTCCAAGTCCAAGAAGGAAAAGGAGTCCAAGATGAAGAAGGAATGATGAAGACAAGGTTTCCTAATCCTAATAGGCAAAGTTTCCAAGTACAATGAGGAGTCTTTATCCATTTAGGGCACCTTATCCATTTAGGACACCCTATCCTATCCTTGCCACGTTTTATCCAATTCCCCTTAGTTTTAGGGCTTTCTAGAAGCCCTAAACATTATCCCTAAGCTTTGCCGCACCCTTATCCCTTTTTCCCTACAAAATTGGCACTTAAAGCATGATTTTAGGAACCTTATCTTATCTCCTACAAAGGTGGCGCCCAAACCCTTCTAGAAATCTGATTTCCCTTGCCTTGCAAGGCATTCTAGAAACCTTATCACCTTATCCCATACCTGCCACACCTAGGAAGCATTATCCCTCTCTATTTCTGATTTCTAAGCCTATTTCCTAGTTGATTTGGGTTATTCAAGTCCATATCTGATTACCCTAGGGTTTTAAGTGCCTATATATACTCATATTAACCCCTAGATCAGAGGACCACCTCTCATACACATTCATCCATTCCATAAATTCGTCCAAACCTCTCCACACACTTGCCGCAGCCACCAAACACCCCTTTCCTTAGTTTTAGACCTTTGCCGCACCATCCCCTTCCCCTAAACACTACTACATCCCTCCATAACCATACATCCAGACACCTAAGGCCCTAAAACCGTCCCTAGACCCTTGCCGCACCAAGGAGGAGGAGAAGGAAGCTCGGAAGTTCATGCAATTCAAGTTCGCGTCGCTGGAATTTCTAGGTGTTTCTTTTCCTTTGATTTCAATGTTTAATTTCAATTCTCTTTGTTTTGTGCGTATGAGGAACTAAACCCCCCTTGGCTAGGGGGGGATTCGAAACACATGTTTATGCTTGCAATATGATTTGATTACTTCTAATTGCGTTTCATAAGTTGTGAATTCAATTTACTTATCTATGTGAATTACATTGATTTGTGTGTGTTGGTTGAGAGTGCACGCTTAATTTTCATGCATAAATTGGATGCTAGGATATAACGAAATTTCACCTAATCGTTATGGAATTATATTCACAAGTAGTAAAGGTTGATGATCTCAATCGCGTTAAGTAAATTCTTGGCATAAGTTTCATGCAATCATAGTAACAAGTGCTTCGTCAATGCTTATGGTTTTCATAGAACTTAATGATTCTTGCTTGTATCTCTATTATGCAATCATGTAGGGGACTTGTGGGGAATGTTTTGGGTTGTCGTATGCAATCATCCAATTCAATAACGTTAGGAAAATCTGAGGGTTAATTAGTGCAATTCACGGTTAATCTGGGGCGTTGAGAATTCATGGTTTATTGAAAAGCAATTAGAAATCGTTTTGTGTGCAAGTATAACATGTGTGGAGATGAACCCCTTAGCTAGCTTCCCATCCATTCATTAAATCCAAATTCGTTTAAAATCTGTTCGTTTTACAAAGTTTTAAGTTTTGTTTTCAAATTCGTCAAAATCAAAATCCCCCTTTACTTAGAGTGTCAGATTAGATAGAAATCAATTTAGTTTGTGTTTTTAAGTGTCTTAGGTCAAGTTAAAACCAATTTTCGTCCAAAGTTGTGTCTAGTGCTCAAAACTGCCCAGATTGTGTTTTTAAGGCAGTTTTGAGTGTTTTGGGGCTGTTTTGAGTCTTTTGGTTTGTTTTGGTGTTTTAAAGTTTAGTTTTGCATTCTTTGAGTCTAGTAAAGTGTTTTATATTGTGTTTCTACGTTTTTTGAGTCAATTCCAAGTGATTAACAATCCCTCCTAATCCCCGGTCCAGAACGATCCCTACTTACATTCTTCACTACAATTGATAAAAAGAGGGTTTAATTTGTGTGCGTATAATTCTCACATCAAATTTTGAAGTTTTTTTAATTGCTGCACGATGAAAGATGTTGATATGCTTGAATCATCTTTAAGTCTTAAGTTTCTTGCAACATCTATTTTTTGTACGTCACGGGTGTTTTGTTTAATGTGTGCAGATTACAGACTTCAGTACATTAGTTTAAGGTTTCTACAATGTTGTTAATTGAGGGTTTTGTCAAGGAAATGCCAAAGGGGGAGATTGTTAGGGTAAAATTGGCAATCCCTGACATAATGACTGAGTCTGTAATAGTTTAGACTTGTTATACATTTTCAATTGTAATAGTTTAAGTCTAGGAAGGGTTCTCACACTTTCGATGCAAAGATGTTACCTGCACGCGATAAATATTCAGGTACGTTTGCATGCATACATCCAACTACATTCATCTATATCTCATGTTATTGTTTTTGATATAGGACTCTTAACCATTGTGTGGTTTATCTCTTTAAAATATTTCATTCCTTTATATTCGAGATTTTAAAGCATGCAAAATAGTCTAATTGGATGAGGACTAATCTGATGGTATTGAGACTTATCAAACCGTGTTATCAAAAGGTGTATGGGTGTTGGTAGAGTTATTGTTCAATATGGATTGCATGGTTGTCAACTGATTTAAAAAGAAAAGTTGATGCCGCATAGAAGTATGGCTTTTCTTGAAAAGATACAGGCAGCAACTTTGTGATTTTAAAAGGATATAACATTATTTGTCAGTGGCTGCCACAGTGTGGTTTTTGATGAGCATGTGTTTTCAAAGGGAATCATTTTATGCATAGAAACTGATTTTATTGAAAAGGATTTTTTTGAAGAAGCATCAGCTTGGTTTTTGTGTACGCAGAAAAACATTTTGAATACTGCTGTTAGCTTACGGTTCCAACAGCATGGGTTTTTAAAATAAGATATTATTTTTCATGCTGTTTTCTTTGAGGTTTTAAATTGAATATCAATTATGGAAATGAGCCTTGTGATTTTCGTAATTGATTGTTTTCCAAACAAACACTTCATCATATAAACATTCTGCATGATCGAGTTAGCATCGTGCAAAGTTCGAGGGAAAGGTGATTGACGGTTGCGTTAGTACCGTGCCACTTCAACTCGAGGACTGAAGAAAGATCGAGTAGCAAAGTGCGAAGACAAAGCTGCCAACTGGTATGTATGTCTAGTTGATGAGTTTTGTAAGTCTTTATGTATTCTTTCTTTCTTAGTGCTTCCTGGCTTGGTAGCCCGAGGATTTTCCCAGTGGTGGGTTTTGCCTCGTTAAATCCTACATCATGTGTGTGCTTTTTATATTCATGTTGAATATTTGTGTAGGATTAATTTTGCATAACTGATTAATTGAACCATAATTTGCTTTAGCGTTAAGTTGTCATTTATAGATTAAGTTAGTACCCATCCTAGGACTTTCATGGAGAAACTTTTAGGTAGGACAATTTGGCTGGGTCGTCGTGTACTTCTCAAAAGGAACATGTCTCGTTGTATTTGGATAATATTTGCCTTACGTAAGTGCTACTACCAATGCATACCGTCAGACTATTGTGAGAGTAACGTGACAAAGTAGTTCATCGCGGGTTGCTCTACTGACTCTTTTCTCGTACAAGATTTGAATAGTATAGCACTTGACGGGAAAAGATCGTCGTCGGATCCTTTTCTATGGGATTCTAGGGATCCCGTGACCGTTTATCATATATTGTGATATTAGAAATCATTTTAAAATTTAAATTTTAAAATTAAATATAAATAACACCTAATGAAAATTGATCGTACGATGTACGATGAATGGTCACGATCCGACGAGGATCCTTTTCCACACTTAACATCCATGGCTTTTCTCTTGAGTTGAGTGTAATTTGGACATGACAGCGTATATATAATTACCTATAGTTGGACTTGGTCCAGGATCCACACGAACAAACACAGTGCTGGGTTTTTTGGCTTCGGGTAGAAACAGCCAATGAAGTCGACGGGATCGTCCAAACGTAAGGATTCTCATGTCAGTAGATCCACTGGTGGGATGTCACTCATGTCGTTTCGCGAGCTTAGTTCCAGAAACATTGCCGTTAGCTATCACAGTACAATATTATTATTAACACAGCCTTTAATTCCAAAAACATGTTTTGCTCATTGTCGTTTGTTTTGTTTTGATTCTGTGTAGGTGGGACCAGAGTAACTCTGTGGTGACGCCCGACGAGGACAGTATTTTACCTTGTGGCGCTGCTAAGAACTGCCTTGGATACCGGGGACGAGACCCACACCCTGGAGCACCTGACCAATCAGAACCGTCGGATCCTCAGATTCTGCGGTGATGCAGGGATCGAGGTGAAACAGTACCTCCCGCACTATACTACGCAGGAGGAGTGGATGGACCACTTTGGAGATAAGTGGGCCCGGTTTTACAAGAGGAAGATGGAGTTCGACCCTCGGCGCATTTTAGCCACCGGCCAACGTATTTTCAGCCCTTCATCGGTTTCTTCTAGTCTTGGTGTTGGTGGTGATAAATTGTCGGTTTCTTAGATGACCAAAACATACAGTTTTTAGGGTTAGTCTTGTACATATACTGTTAGATGAAATCTTTTTTATTACCAAATGGGTGCTGGTTATGAGGAAGAGGAGGCCTTTTTTTTAAGAGTTTTTCGGTCTGAATGCTCATATCACGTGACTGTCCAGCCGAGGCCGGAGACTCATTGTGCGGAACTAGGATAGTGTCGATGGGGCCGGAAAATAGTAGTGGAATGAGATACAATGTTTTTGTGCCCTTGGTTGTAGAGGTGAGGTGGCATGACCACCCGTACTCAAGAATTTCTCGTTTCTTAGGGTTTGTTAGGTGAGAGTGAGAAGCGATGGACCCGAATGGGGCCCACGATCACAATCCAGCGCCCGTGATCCGGACAGCCCAGTCTGGTTTTGTTCTGGGACTCGACGTCTTTATCCGCAACCTCATCCAACACAAGCTGGACTCTGATCATCACTCCATCATCCTTCATGGTTTGTCAATTACTGTTATACCCTTCTTAGATTGGTCACCGGGTAGAAGTAGAACGCATGAACTACAGCTTTGTAATTAGACAAAATCAAACTTAATATAAATTAAATTTTAGTCTACCCTGAGCTCTTTGTTCTCTAAAATTTAGCCCCTGACAGACATACAAATTGGAGTAGATAATGTGATTGCAGTACAAAAATATCAAAGTTCGCGTAATATCCGGTCCTGCGGTCTGCCAATAACATCTAAGGTTTACTCATCTAGCTGTGGCTTGCATGGATGTGCATCACTCTGTGAACCGAGTTGCTTCCCGAATTTTTTCAATGCGATTGAATATATCGTTTTCCTTCGCACTGATGTCCCGTCAGCCACTAATTTGACAGCCTATATGAACATAAAGAGTTGTCAAACCACTCAACGGTTCATAATAACAGAAGAAAAGATCATTCCTAATGATTTTGTTAAACCTGGCAAATGCATTTCGGTCACTAGTAAGTGAGGCGCCGAGTAAAATGAATATGCAACAAGTCATTAGAAATACAAACATATGTCAGAAAAAGTGGCGTTCAATATGATAAACAGAAGTCATTACCGTGGAAAGACTATGCCCACTGGAGATCAAATCTCTTAACTCATCCTCAAGCTGAGACTCTGAAGGAGCTACAACCGGAGAATCTTCCTTTCCTTCAATTAATACTGTAATTTCACCTTTTGGCTGGTGAGTAGAGTACGCTTCTTCAGCTTCCCCCAATGTACCCCGCCAAAACTGATAAGACGTTAAATTTAGGGGCATGCCACTTATTAAGTCTGAGATCACAACATAATAGCAATTCTATTTGTGGAAGAACATGCTAGCATTTGAAAAATTCAAAAAATATCAACAGAATAAGCAATTTTATCAGTTTTTTTTTTTTTTTTTTTTCTTTTGAGAAAGAAACGACAATGTTATCACATCATATTAATTACATTCATACAATGTGCGCAGCTGATCTATTCAGTTATTCCCCAATGGGATCTGGGTTCTAAGAAGTTTGAATCACATCGCGAAGCACTAGCTAAGTTCCTAGATCGTGCGAAATAAGAGTGTTACCAGAGATAAATAAGAGACAACAAGAGACATCGCCACAAACCACCTACCTCTTCATGAATTTTTGTAATTTCACGAGCTATGACACATTTTCTGCAACACAATTATACAAAAAAGGTCATCATTTTGTACAACCACTCAACCAGTAATAGCGCATAGATCCAACCATGGAATTTCAATTGGTGACTCATACAACAACAACAACAACAACAACAAGCCTTTTCCCACTAAGTGGGGACTTATCATAACAAAAAACTAATAAAACAATTAGATCAAGTATTTACCTTGAAAAACCAAAAAGTGAAGAAGTCTCTTCAAGAAACTGATGAAGCTTATGGGGAGGTACATAAAATATTTGAGTCGCTGCCTCATTTGCTGAAACCATCAGCCTCTCTCTTCTAGATCCAGCATGCTTAGAGAGAAATCCAACTGCAGAAGTACAATCAGTATACAAAACTATGTATCTTGATCCATCCAAGCCACATCCACCAAGAAGAATATCAGCAACATCAATTCCTTGAAAAACTTACCAAATGTAAACTCATCTGTGGACAGGCCAGAGGCAGAGAGAGCAGCCACAAATGCGGACGGCCCAGGTATAGGAATGACAGGGATGTTTTCATCCACGCATAGCTTTGCCTGCACCAAAACCTTGATATCAATTGCACTGCTACGTGATACATCTATAAGACTATATATAAATACCATATCTGCAATAATACACACTACATTACTCCGAAGTCATGTTGTCACGAATGACTAAACAATTTACAAAATCAATTCAAGCTGATACATGATGAATTACTTGCTGTAAAAGCAAAGGAAACTAGAGAAAAGGGGTAGACCCTCACCAAGTCCGTACCAGGATCACTGATGCCCGGCATCCCAGCATCGCTTATGAGCGCCACAATTTCACCTTCCTTCAACCGCTTCAACACTGTTTGCCCCCTTTGAGCTTCATTGAATTTGTGATAGCTCAGCTGTAATCTAAAAGCATAAATCAAAATGACTAAAACTAAAAACTAACCAACTCAGAATCCTAAAAATATAATAACCCCTATTCACTTACAAGGGGAGTTTTGATGCTATAATGGTGGAGCAACTTCCCCGAATGCCGAGTGTCTTCGGAAAGTATTACATGAGCTGCTTTTAACACCCGGAGAGCCCTGCATTGGCAAAATTCGGTCCGATATCATATTAAAAAATGAAAAGAAAACAAATACATGGTTTGCAACTTTGTATGTAGAGATTGAGAAAGCACCGTAGAGTGATATCTTCGAGGTTTCCGATCGGAGTTCCGACCAGATACAGTCCGGGTTCAATAGGACCCTGCAACCGAAACAAACATTCAAAATACAATCTTCTGTTGAAAAAACGATAAATTTGGTTTGATTATGCAAAAACAACGAGATTGAAAATAAAATTAGAGGGAAATTAGGGTTACTTGTTTCGACGGCGGTTGGGGGATTGAGTCGCTGAGTTCGGCGGAGATTTGAGGACTGGAAGAACAGAAGGGGATTATGCTAGCTTTATTAGGGCAAACGGAGAGTGAGTGACGAGACGGCTGCGCCGTCTGAATCGTCTGGGAGGGGAGCAAGTTCGATAGGCCGGACCGCCCCCGTGAGAAAGAAACCGCCGCGAAAGGAAGCCGTCGCGATAGCATTTGTTCCGCTAACTAAACCTCTCGCACTTGCTTCTTGGCCGAGGGAAACACAGCTGAAGTTAACCGTTTTGGATATTTTATGACGGTTAAGGCTAGAGATGCTAAATTTTGTAAATTAAATGATATAAAAGTTGATGATTGTATTATTTTATGTCTAATTAACATGCTTATTTCTTATTGGTGATACATGACATACCCCGAATCGAGTTATGTTGACCGACACCTCGGAAGATGATGAAGCCATAAAAGTTTGGTGATGTGGAAAATGTGAATAAATTTAAACCTAAACCTTTATTTTTGCCCACTCAAACTTTCTCTTTTTTGCTCCTCCTGGACTTAGTTAGCTGAATCTTCTGTGGCGAACAAGGGATCACTAGCAATTATGAGATCCACCCAAGTAAATGTAAGAGTTTGTTTCTTGTTGTGTAATAATTATCTTATCTAGGTTTGACTGTTATACTTATGTTGCATTGTTATCTATACTCTGACTATTTGTGTAATATGGGTTCTTCCCACTAGTGCGCATTCTCTTTATTAGCTTAAATAAATTATAGCTTCGGAATTAGTTGATAAACTATCCTTTCCGTTGAAATTTCTTGTTCTAATTGATAGAGCAAACTGAGTAGCAAGTCGAAAACGTAAAAGGCTATCTAAGTTGCAAGGAACTTGTAACTCATTTGCTGATCAAGAGGAGTCCAATATCCCCACCCCGATATCAGTTGTATCCAAAAACAGTTAAATCCGTGCAATTAGGCGGCAAATCAATCTATTAGGTTTTTAATGAGTACCCATTTAGTTTAACATCACTTTATACTATTATCACTACTACCAATCTCACATTTATAGTGATATCAAATTAAATGGATCTTAACGAGTGTCCATTAACAACCATTATTAGTTGATTTACCACCTCCGGAAGCAATTGCCGCCACCCCGCTATCAGTTGTATGAAAAAACAGTTAACTCGAGACTGCTTTTAGAATAGCCAAAAGCGCTTCTAACCGAAACGACACACGTCTCATCGATCAACCAACGAGCTTACTGTTTGTAAAAGCAAGGATGCAGACATGATATCTGACCGTATTCACAGTTGTTGCAGCTACGCAATCTGATTCACATCCACCTCACTCGACTCGACACATGCATTCCAACTTCCAAGCAATGGCAACCAAATATGTTGCGGGGTGGGGGGACATGTCCGTTAACATTGATTAAATAGTTGATTCCAAATCAATCTTTTTTTATACATAATTAATTAATATTCGTTAGGTCATTACATTACACTTTGTCATCATGGAACCACCATCTCGTCTCCTTGGGAGATCTGCCGTTCCTGCAGTTCTTCACGTATCGATCGTTATCCGCTGGGCGTTGCTGCACAAATGAGGGTCGTGTTATAACGAAGTCACGTAGGGTGAAGTGGAATAATCCAAAGCTATAAATTCATCAAACTGAACCATACCTTCACCGTGGAACTCGATAACATGGAGAGAATGCTGATACAGATGGAACTAACCGTCATGGCTGGGGACCATGAATCATATAGAATATCTGCAAATCAAAACAAAAACCGTTAACTGGAAAATCAATTGGCTGTTGCTCATTATCAGGTACATGACAGCTATCTATTCCATTGCACAAGCGAGAATATGTAAACGACAACAATAAATTAAACATAACATGATCAAACAGCTCGGGCTACCTTAGGCACACAATCCATAGGGAATCAAGGATAACAAAAAGAAGATGATAGTTTCCCCTTTATTGTTATCATTTCTGGCAACAAAAATAAGATATCTTGTGCTTGAAAGACGAAAGTTTGCAACTTTAAAAGCTCAAAAGAGCAACAACAAGTATAGATGCAAACGTAAGGGATACCGAATGACTCCCAGCACCTAGAAGTTCTATCCAATGACCTCATGCAGCTGATTATGGACGCAAACGTAAGGGACACTGTGAGCTTGGGTGTACCTCATGCAGCCATGCCTCTGGAACTTAAATTTGATCTTCAACTAAGAGCTATTGTCAAAGTTTCTTAGGTATCCCTGGTCCCTTCTTTTTAAATTCACTACATGGCTATAACACTCAATGAGATTTAATAATAAAAGCTATCGGCCTGATTTTCAGAGTTCACAACTAAACCTGATCGTATGCTGGGCACCACACTAACTTCTAGTTTATTTTCTTGTCAATCTTCATATCAAGCCAATTCAGAATATCACAAAATCCAACTAGACATGTCCCGCGATCATATGTACTCGCTACAGTAAGCACCGGAGGGTTGTATTTGCTTGACATGAGACATTAGATTTCTACCACAGAACGATAAAATGAAACATTCTAAATTGCTAGTGCTAAGATCCAAACATTAGGTAACGTTTTCGTCAAGCTTAGTTGCAAATAATAGAAGGATATTCTCCAAGGCAAGGTTAAACTCTAATGGTCAGCAAATTCAATAGAATCCAATTAAACTTATTATAAGGTTGCCTAACTTGCAAGCAAATATTGCGATGTAACAGTTGAACAACTTAACAACTAGTCATCATTTTGATAGAATGAAACTAACGATCGCATACAATGACTCGAATAATATAATAGCCATCTAATTTTTGATCTTCCATATGAAGAAAGCAGGAATTCACGCCAAGACATTAGTTCCATACTAACCCAATTACTGAAAACAACTAAAGATAGCGGAAAATACTAAAACAAAGTTAAAAGACAAGATCGGTACCTAAACAGATATGGCCATTGCTGTAAATGTGAGGATGCAGAGGAGCCGGAGGTACAAAAATCACCTGAATACATCAGTAATTTAAGCGAAAACTTCAAATTACTTATCGTTCTGTTTTCGTCAAGTTTTCGAAACCCTAACAACTACAACTCTAGAACCAAACAGTAGGTTTGATTACTTAAATGGTTTGAACCCAATAATCAATTCTTAGGTTTCGAAACAATTTTCTCGGCAACCAAACAGAATCAAGAGGAAACCAAAAGTTAAATTCAGAATCTTATGGACCTGTGGTGCTTCCATGGGATAATGCTCGGGGAAATCGACTTGGAGCTGATAAATTTCGTTAGCGTATAGAGTTCCCGGGGCTCCGGTGACTTCGATGACCCATCTTCACACCAAAATTCAAAGAAATTAACATTTATCACAAAATTAATCGCAAACAAAAGAGATATTAAAATTAAATTAAATATAAAGAAATTGGATTGGAACCTCTGAAGATTATCGGTGACTTTGTGCTTGAAACCTGCCGGAGGATTCACCTGCCACTCCACCAGCTCTTTCTGCAGCCGATTGCAGGCGATCTTGCTCAAAGCCTACGCACCCAAAAAATTCCATTAAAAACGATTAAAAAAAAAAAGGAAAAACAATTTAAAATTGTATATACAGAGAGAAGTAAACCTTGCGTGAAGTGGCGGAGGAGCTCGTCATCGCTTCCTAAGCAATTGAGAGAGAGAAAGAGGCGGACGGCAGCGACGGCGGATTCGAGTGCTCCTTCCTACTCTCCTTCCTCGGCTATCTTTTACTCTCAATTTTCTCTGAAATTTCCAGAAATTATTTTAATTTTCTAGACAATAGAAAATAAATAAAAAAATATACATTTTAGCAAAAAGGTATCCACGCGCGTGATAGTAATCGGCAATCTCATCAGAAATATCTCCGGGGGCCCCACTGCCGCACTAGAAGCTTTTGGAGGTTTCCTGATTTGCCACGTTGATAATATTTGATCACGGAATCCGCGTGTTCGTTCGCTCCTTTTTTGTTTTTTTTTAAGTATTGGTGCAGGTCGTTGCCGTCGTTTTTTATTTTTAATTACTACGAACAAAAAATTATTCTCCTACCAAAAAAATAATAATGTCAATTTGGAAAAAGTCACACCAAATTGAACACGGGGGTCGTCTAATTAATCTTATAAATTTACAATTAGTAGCTTAATTAGTTTGTTGTTTTAAGAAATATAATGATTGGTTTTGCAACGTTTGGATTTGAACAATTGGGTCATTAATCTAAATTATATATAATTAGGTAGATTTGGTGGAGTAATATAGTTGGATTATATATCTGGTGCAAACTGTTTGGCAATTGAGGAAATTGGCAATTTAAAAGGTTTTAACATGAACTTGTGAATTTGTGAGAATTTTTTATTTTACACGTTTAAGTTTTTATTGGTGTGTCATATTAGCAAATCTATAAATTATACGTTATAGGATTCTAGTGTCAAGGTCAAAACCTTTTGTTTGAATAGAAACATTCGATTTCAACCAAGTTCTGTCAGCAATTAATTTCGTTAAGTACTTAATAGGCATATCAAACGTCCCCTGTCAAACCATGTCAATATATGTCGAGCGTTGCCTATCGGAGAATGATAAGTCTCATACCACTAAAAACCCTTTTAAGAAGAATTTTTTTTTTTCGCGTTCTGTATGTTTTCAGAGTTAGTGTTTAATTAAATTCGTCATCGGTTGGTGATCATATATCTTTCCTAGAGTTGAATTTATTCAAACTTTTTTATTAGTAAAGTTTACTTAAATCTTAGAAGGCATTTTATGAACGAATTAATTGCTCAACTCAGTTCAAATTGATTTTCTCATTTCTTAAATATAAGGCCCAAAATTTCTTAAAAAAGAAGAAGAAAAAGGTCCCAAATTTCTGTTAATTATGGCATTTGTAATGTTAAATGATGATGGATCTTCATACCAAAAAAGGAAAGTTATTGCTGGACCTTATCATCTAATTTAAGCTTTTTTATTACAAAAATCATAAATGGTTACCAAAACAAGTAAAAGCTAAAACTGTAATTTCATAAGCGCGTAATGGCGGGACCACAATTCAGCGTTAACGGACCGTAATGCCGTCGTTACTCGTTAGCGTGTACCAAAACGCACCGTATGGCCCCCCGACAAGACAACCAAGCTACCGACCACGAGCCTACAGGGGTTCGAGTAAACTACACACGTGAGTTCGCCACTCCCACGTTTTCCACCTACAAACTTTTATTATCCGAATTTAAAAAATGAATGGGGAAATATTGCATAATACCCCCTATATTCTATATTTTCATGCAAATAACATCTACTCTAAAATATATTCACAATTAACCACTTGTACTTCATGCTTTTTGACAATTTGGCACCTTCGTCTGGTATTCATATTTTTATCAAATAATGATCATGTCACGTTCAAGAGAGTCCTTTTTCAAAAACATCCACGACATTTATCATGCGTGTAAAGGTATGAGAATTACTAAGGCTATCTTCAAGGGAGTTCAAAAACTCGAAAGTTAAAATCTTGCCCCTACACTTTCTCTAATACATGAATTTTAGGGGGCTAAAAAGTTCGATTTTAATGTTAAGGGTAGGTGTTGGAGTCTAGGATTGATCGATATGTGAAGAGTGTGAAGCAAACCTCCCGTATGTCAAAAAAAGACGTAAACATAAAAAGTCACATGGTTGGAGTTGAAAGATAAAAAAGGGCCACAACCAGCCTTGAGTTGGATCATTACATCATCGACTCACTACTCGTATTGATATTGTTTGTGACTTGGATTTAACTACCTGTATGTACAACATGTGTGATCTTTTATTATTAAAAAAAAAACACCTCTATACAGTTACTAGTATAACCATCTCATTATTTACTCAAGCGTTATGAGTTCGAAACTTCGCCTTCCTAAGTTTATGTAACAATTTTAAACTCTCATTATTCTCATAATGATATTTAAATTATATATCGTATTTTGTTTCGACAAGTTTCCGACATCAAATACACTAGATTGTTACACAACCTAAGTTTAGGTGATTAATGTAAAATAAAAAAATATATATACTCAGGTGAAAATTTCACAAAAAAAAAAAAAAAAAAAAAAAGTCCTATGCTTGCAATTTTAAAAAAGTGAATAAAGAAAATTCAAGAGAGAATAGAATCGACTCACTTAACTCACCAAACGGTGGTTACCAGTTAACCATTAGCGTAACAACGTTTGATTGAATCCTCTTAAGCAAACCACCACCAGCCGCCACCCCTCACCCAGTCACCACCACCCACATTCCACTCCACCACCCACATTCCACTCCCCAACTCTCTCTCTCTCCCCCCTTTCTCTCTCTACTCTGTCTTCTTCAAGAACTTTCTTCCTCTGTTTTTTTTTTTCCTGTGCTAGCGTATACATATTGCCAAACCAATATTTCCATTTAAAAAAAAAAATACTGTTACAAAATTTTCAAATTTCCCATTTATAAATTATGTGACGTGTTATGTAAAAATACGTTACTTATTAATTTAATTATCAACAATTACAAGAACACTTACGAACGCTCTCTCTCGTTTAAGAAGGAATATAGTAATGGTTAAAATTAATGGTTTTTCTGTCGTAACACCAAAAAACAGAGTATTTGAATTTTTAAATTCGTTCGGGGAATAAAAAACTCGAGTTGGTGTTGATATTCAATTGGGCATTAATAAAATATATTTAAACTGGGTCGAAGTAGGTGCCGTTGTTCCAATCATAAGGAGGTTGTTCTTGTTCGGGAATTCTCATTTCTCTCTCTCGGGATTCGTGTCTGTCTCCGATTCTGGAAAGCCGAAGAAGATAGCTACAGTTTTCTTGTTCTTGTTGTTCTCCTTCTTCCACTCCTTCAACTCCAAGTCTTAAAAGTTTCTGCATTTTTTTTTCCTTCAGGTATTTCGATTTTTCACCTCCCCTGCTGCTTCAGTTCTTAACTTTTTCTCTGTTTTCCATTTTTTGATTAATTATGCTGATTATGTTAGTATTTTGGTTATGAAATCAGTATTAATATTGATTATTAGCACTAATCTCCACTGGTTTAGTTCACCTTGGATTATTTCAAATTTGGGTTAGCAGTTTTTGCTTGTCTTCTAGTTTGATAACCCTGTCTGCATATCTTCTGAATTAGGTTTTTGCTTTTGGTAATTTTGGTGGGTTTTTACGTTTGGTAAATTTGATGAATTTCATTTTTTTTTTTTGTAGGAATCAGTAATTTGATTAAATGGGTATCGCCAATTCGATTGGTTATCGTTTAATTTGTGAGAAAGATCGGTAATTTGGATTGGATCCCCGAATTTTACTCAAAGATTTGGAGACAGAGGAAGAAGATACTAGGCTATTGAGCTATGGCTACCTATTTCCAGAATTTGGGTAACCAGAACTTACTGAACCCTTATCAAGGGGACCCCGAACCGCCCGGAAACATGATGATGTATCTGAATCAGGCTTCTTATGCCGCCGGATCCTACTCCGAGGTCTTGTCTGGCGGCAATTTGCCCCCTCAGAAGTATCCTGACTCTGAGGGGGTTAGGAATGAAATGATGTTTATTCCGCCAACGAGTGATCAAGTCAGGGATTGTGACATTGGCGGCGATTCCTTGATTGGGAAACATGGTATTCAGGATCATGGATTGTCTCTCAGCCTTTCCACCCAAATTCCGCAAACAGTATCTCTGCCGTTGTTTCAGTACCAGTATCCGAATTCAAGTCTGTCTTCGGTTTTGAGCAATGCTCCAGTGCTAGGGAAGGGTGACGAGTACAATCAAAGCGAGGAGTTTAGAAACTTCGAAAGCTTGGCATCGGGGTTATATGGAGGTGGCCATGAGGCTGTCAAGACACAGGCTTTCTACAATCCTTTGTGTTCGTCGGGATCCAAAGAAATGCACTCTGAAGCATACTTGGACGAATCATTAGTTTCTGCAAACACTATGTTAAGCTCCAAGTACCTCAAGGCAGCACAACAGTTGCTTGATGAAGTGGTAAATGTCCGAAAGGCTCTGAAGCAGTCTCGATTGAACAAGAACCAGAGCTTTAAGCGGAGTGGAATAGACGGTACCAAAGAGACTGATGGGAGTGATCAACATTTACGGAGATCATCAGATCCTAGCAAATCAAGCGCTGTCTCTTCTATCGAGTTATCACCATCAGAACGGCAGGATTTGCAGAACAAGAAGACTAAACTTTTGTCCATGTTGAATGAGGTAAATAACCACAATTCGTAAGAATTTTTTGTTTCATGTTGGGTCTTTAAATCCTGTTTATGTTACTTATTTTGCAAGGTCATTAAGTGATATGCCGTATTGCAGGTAGATCAAAGATACAAACAATATTACCATCAAATGCAAGCCGTGGTGTCATATTTTGACAAGGTGGCAGGGAACGGGGCTGCTGGACCATACACTGCCCTTGCTCTCCAAGCAATTTCACGTCACTTTCGCAGTTTGCGTGACGCAATCAAGGGCCAAATTCAAGTGACGAGGAAAAGCCTGGGAGAGCAAGATAATTCATCTGATGGTCAAGGATCAGTAATACCCCGCCTCCGCTATGTGGACCAACAGCTCAGACAGCAGAGGGCATTTCAGCAACTTGGTGGATTGCAGCATGCTTGGAGGCCTCAGAGAGGACTCCCGGAAAGCTCTGTTACAATCCTTCGTGCCTGGCTGTTCGAACATTTCCTTCTTCCGTATGTACTTGAGCACCTTTTTCGCCTTAATTGAAAATGATACATGGCAATCTCTTAAGAACTTTGGTCACTGATTCTTTTGTGGTTTTTGGTGTCCCTCCAGTTACCCGAAGGATTCAGAAAAGATTATGCTTGCAAGGCAGACTGGATTAACCAGAAACCAGGTAAGATGACTTCTAGGTTTCTTCCTATGGGATCACTATTTATTTTTTACGTTATGGTTTCTTAAATGTGCACGGTTTTGAATTGGGATTCAACTATCAGTCGGTTGAAAATGTGAACTTTAATCCTTGCTCTTTCCTTTTCAATGCCATCAAAATGTTTGACTCAATGTTGTAATTTCTTCGTATCACTTGAATATCATAGCTTACCTTGAAACATTTCATCACACCCTTGTTTTGTTTGCATAGTGTCATAACTAGCATTGTCCGTTATCAGGTTGCCAACTGGTTTATCAATGCAAGGGTACGCCTTTGGAAACCCATGATTGAGGATATATACAAAGAAGAATTCGGTGATCTGGACATGGATTCGAAATCTTCACCTGAAAACGCACTCAAGGAAGAAGCAAGAGTTGATTTCTCAGCATCTGAGGACAGGAAAGAGGAGTTGCACGAAAGCCTGATATCCGCAACTGCTGATAGTATTGAACCAGGGAAATTGCATGACTCGAAGTTGGGTCACAATTCCACATATGACATGCCAAGGTTGGATCATTTCACAGTTGGCAGCGATGTGTCACTTGCGTTGGAGTTACGGCATGGCGAAGAACACAATGCCTTTCCTCCATCTACCGGATCCCATGTAAGAGCTAATGATGCGGTAACTTCTTTGGATTGCCACTATGAGGATCCGGAGCAACAACATTTAATACAGGTTTGGCAATACCCACCCGTTACTTGATTTTGTAGTCCGAGAGGATTATCGCCTCCAAATATTGGGCGGTAAGCGGCCTCAGGCAATGATCGTCGAGAAACAGAATACTTGTTTCGCTGCTCTAGCAAGTGGGTGTAGATGTAGATGTGTGTATGATACTGGTACCAACGTGTAATATAACAGAGCTTGGTGGAAGAAGAAGAAGCCTTAGGCATATTCGTAAACTAGTTTTGTAAAGATATAAGGTGAAGGAATATCTTGTGCATTCATTGAATAAGGAACTTGGAAACTGTACAAGTGCGACCTCAAAATGTGTAATCTCATCTGGAAATAAGTCTGATACAAGAATTGCCTGATTTTTGTTTACAATTTTGGTTTGCATTATTTGGAAATTTACATGAAATCGAGGGTAATAAGAAGTAATTGTTTTTATTCTCATGTGACATGTCGGGAGAAAGATGTACCCCTTTATGAGATGAAAATATGATGTACTAAGCTTTGGATCACGTGTTTGTGCAACTACAACTACAAAATTGCAACTCTTTGTAGTTTTATATCACCCATGTCTATCCCTAAGAGGAATGTTGCACGCGTTCGGTTGTACACAAGAATGTCTTCTTAACGAGGGTCGTGAAATCTGTTGTGTACTCTCAGTATATGTTTCTCTCAATACGTAATAATTTAAAAGAGAGTAAGATATAAAAAGATTTATGCAATTACATGCGAGTCTCCTTCTTTTACGAAATTTCGTAAAATCAAATGTATTTTTTTATGTCAATTGATGTCAGGACAGAAACAAATACAACGAGGTATACACACGATTGCATGTTAGTCTGTCTCATGGGACTATGCAGAAGCATGCATATCCAAGCATCGATTTTTCTGATGGATTTGGAAGGAGATCGGATAGGAGGGCTGATATCCCAAAGAAATATGATCACGGGAACAATTTTTTCTGGCGGAAGACTGTTGGCATTTGAAATTTACTGGGAGGGGTGTACAGGTTTTGCAGATAAGGCAGAGACACCTTTAATCTATAGGGTGGTGGGGCCTAGAGTTTAGGGGGAGGGGGGGGGTCCTATTACTTTTACAAGGAACAAAGTTGGAAAGAAGAAGAGAGTGACAAGTGGAGGAGGCCAAAGGAACAAAGATGGCAATCATTACTAAAGCATCCGATCAGACCACCTAAAAATAGTAACACACACTCAGAAAAACTAGAATTAGTCTCATCAGCACACCTACCTCACCCTCAATTAATAATGCCTACCCCCCCTTCTCTCTCTCTCTCTCTCTCTAGAAAACCTTGTGTAGCAAGGGCAGGTCATGCCAACTTATCTGTATTTTAATTTCATTTGACTTCATGTTGATTAGATTAGACGAGAAAGTTAACCTTTATTAGTTAGTTTTACGTAAGTTTTGCTAATCTTTCTATAGGAGCATCCAAATCACTTCATGTGAAGATAATCTATCAAAAACCATGAGACTCGATGCATTTTGACTCCTATCACCACAAGTTTCTTATCATGTTTAATGGGAGTTCTGTTTTAATTAGTCAATTCTGCATAAGTTTTGCTATTCTTAACACAATGAAAAGCTTATTTACAACAAAAATGCTACTAACTAGAATGAGACTTTATGATTAGTTTTGTTATCGTTGCAATGATATATAGAATTCCGCTTAATATAAGCAAAAGAACCCTTCTTTATTATCTATGCATTGATTTGAAAGATTGTGAAATCAGTGTCATTTCAACGTCTCTCTCTCTATGTAATATGTATGAAGCAAGAATACGACGCTTAACAGGAAAAAGTAGATATTCCATGTGTTTAGAGGCTCAGAAGCTGACAATCCTAGAACTGGGAGTGTGCAAAAGACACCCCACTTTTTCTCACCTCCTCTCCTCGCCTCTCCCTCCTTTTATTACAGTCCTCCACTGCATACCCAGCACTGTATATGAACAGAACAATTTAACATGCTGATCTAGCTGAGAGCAGCTCTTGTCCTTCTGGCTTTCACAGGGGAGAGAAAGTGAGGAGAGAGAAAGAGACAAAGACATACACTGTTTAGAGAGAGAAATGAAGGAGAGTAGATTTGAGGCTCCCAAGGAAATGTGAGTGCAGACACTAAAGCTGGAGGCTTTGATGCTTTTTGGTTGTTGATTTTTTATAAGTCAGGGAAATTGGGACCATCTTCTTTTCTCTTGTCATTTTCTCTGTTTTTACTTGCCCAATTAACCTGCCTTCTTTAAGGATCTAGCACAAGTCTATGTTTCTAGCTTTCTGCTGCTGCTGCTTACATTTAGATTAGGCCTGTTGTCTCTTGACACACACACAGAGACACACAGAGGGAGAGAGAGAGAGAGAGAGAGAGAGAGAGAGAGAGAGAGAATCATTTCTTCATTAGAACCCAAATCACAGATTGGTTCTTGCTATTTGTTTTGCTTTCTGTCTGTCTTCTGTATTGATCATGAATTAAAACTTCAAAGGGTCATAATTTCTCTGCTCTCACAGCTCAAATTCTCAGATTTACATTCACCAAATTGGGGTTTTCTTCCTTTTGTCAAAAGTGCTTTTCTTTTAAGCCTTTTTATAACAACAAATTCACCAAAGATTTTGAGATGGCCTTCTACCTAATGCGCCAAGTACTATTTATTTCTGGGCTGATCAATCTATGCTTGCATTGCTTTCTTCCTTGACATTCACATCTCTCTCTCTCTCTCTCTCTCTCTCTCTCTCTCTCTCTCTCTAGATCATGAATTAAAACTTTCAATTGGGTTTTCTCCCCTTTGAAAGTTTTGAGCTTTCAACTTCTGGTTTGCAATGGTGTCACAAGACTCACCCCCAAATCCCTCCTCAAGCATTTTCCACCAGTTCATAATCTCAGACTCCATTTCTGCTCAAAACCATCATCTCGAAAGCCAGCACCTTGACGCTTATCCGCCTGCGTTTCAAACTAGTACCACATTTCCACAAGCTCTCGGAGTTCTCCCCAGCATTCACTCCCTTGGCGAAAGAATGTCCCGATCAGTAGGACTTGTTCAAGCTCCTACCGGCGCAGCAATGGAGAACCAAGTGCAGCGGCTTTCGCTCTCCCTCGGTTCCCATCTGCTTGTTCCTTCTGGCCAGTACCGGCACCACAACTTCCACACTGGGGAGGAATCCGGGGAGGCTTGCAACCAGGGAGTTGAGCACGTAGGCGACGAGTACTGCTTCATGGAAGGCACGCTTGCTTCGCATTCAAGTGCGCTGAATCGATCTTGCTCCACTTCTTATGGAGCAGAATCTCTAGCTGCTGTCATTGCGAATTCGAAATATCTTAAACCAGCTCAGTCCCTCTTGGAAGAGATTGTTAATGTTGGCGGACAATTGGTTGACATTAGCAATGAGAAACATGTGGGGAAATTGTATGGAGAAGGGCGGCGAGGCGGTATGGGGCTCTCCTCTGAATTGAGAGCAGAGCTTTCTTGCAATGGTGGGCTCATGAATGCCGACAAACACGAAATGCAGGCTAGGCTTGCAAACCTTATCACATTGTTGGAACAGGTACAATCTTGATGCTTAGTATAAGTTTTTGAAAAGACGATATTCCAAACTAGTGTAATTTACGGAAATGGGGATTTTGACCTTAGGTGTAAGAGGTTAGACACACTGCCTAGCATTTTGATCTCATCGAACATTTGTGCTCGGAGAATTAATTTGTTTAATGTTTTCAAGGTTGAGGACAGATGTGAGAAGTACTACCATCAAATGGAACAAGTGATGTCATCATTTGAGATGGTGGTAGGGGAAGGGGCAGCCAAGTCCTACACAGCTCTGGCTCTCAAGGCCATGTCCAGGCATTTTTGCAGCTTGAGAGATGGCATAGTTTCTCATATCTATGCCGAGAAGCGAAAGCTGCTGCAAGATGTTCCGAAAATCAGTGGCGGGTTATCGCAACTGAACTTGTTTGACAGAGAGTGCAGGCACAAGAGAATGTCCCTTCAACAGCTCGGCATTTTTCAGAGCCAGCGCCAAGCTTTCAGACCGATTCGTGGATTGCCAGAGACCTCTGTTGCGATTCTTCGCACTTGGCTTTTCGAACACTTCCTCCACCCGTAAACAATCCAAAAACTAATCAACCCTTCATTGGAATTAATCCGAATTATTGTAATTAACTTGGTTTTGATCGTGCAGTTACCCCAATGACAACGAAAAGCTGCTGTTGGCATCACAAACAGGGCTGTCCAAGAACCAAGTAAGTTCCAACAACTTGGTTATGTCCTAATAAGTTTCATATGAAACTTTGGTCGGATTTTGTGATGATCAATGTTATATCTGTTTCAGGTCTCGAATTGGTTCATAAATGCGCGCGTCCGGCTGTGGAAACCTATGATTGAAGAGATGTACAAGGAAGAGCTTGGGGAGTCTTCAGAGGACTCTAACTCTTTAGCCGGCGGTTCCCTGACCGGTGAAGGCAACACGGATCCGACAGAGAATTAATGGGGTAGAAATCTGATATGTTTGATGGTAAAAATTACCAGTAGAAGTTTAATGACTGAAGTTGTAATGATTTTCAATTTCTCAAGTCTAACCATATGCAACTGTTGATTTTGGTTTTGTGAGAGTAACTGGAAATCAGGTCTTAAAATTTCTCTTTGCAATGGTGAAAGCAGAAATTTTGATATTCGAAAACTCACCTTTGATTCTGGAACATATAGCGTCGAGAAATACAGAAACCTGGAAAGAAAATTCAGGCAAACAAAGCAATTCAATATTAATGCTAGTAAGAAATTTTCATATTCTGCTCGCATCTCCTCCCTCGGCTGTGGTTTGTCAAACTGAATCTCCGTCCTTTGTATTGCGTGTTATTTGATCCGAGGCTTGAATTTCAGAAATAATCCGTCTCCAAAATTGCATGTAAACAGAAGCTTCAGTTTTGCGGCCGAAATCATGCTTTACATTGTAAATTGTTACACAGAGCTGGAAGCCTGAACACCCTTGTCTCATCAGGGTCTAATCTTCGAAAAATAGGTCACCTGCATCAAGGTTGAACTTTAATCCAAAGAGCAAAGAAATTTTCATGATATCTTATAAGTTTTGATACAAACCTAAAACATAACCAGCAGTAGACTATTGTATAAACTACTTCCCGCACTCCTCCTCCTGGACTTGACCATCTGCAAAAGCAAACGTGAAGACATAAAATAGCAAACATGAAGACATAAAAAAAATTAGCTCAATTGACCATACGCATAATCCACAGAAAGCATAAATGAAAAAACAGATCTAAAGTCTCACCAGCAAGAGTGATTGCCAAGTTTGCTTGAACATCCGCCTCAGTGTTTCTTTCCTTTGAAGGTATACACGAACATGTTAGAACATCATAAGCCGCCAGCTGACGTGGTATTAGTATACAAACCCACAAAAGTATCATATATCACAATAGACAGATAGAGTTGGCTTGGCTCACCCTTAGGACATGGCTGATTTTGAAGGAGAGAAATTTATCCTTCAGTTTCTTCACCTCTTCGTACAAATCAGACAAGTTCTGGTTTTTCACCTTCCATAAACCCTGAATCTGTCCAGTTATCATTCTCAGTTAACACAGAACAAGGAATAAAAGGAAAAGGAAAACCGCAAAACTGCTGAAGTATCAAACAAACAGAGATAACGTAAACCACCTTAAGCAGGAGAATGTAAACACAATACTAACCAACCTGCATACACACGAGTTTGGAGTCGCCTTGGATAGTAATCCTTGTAAAACCTTTTTTAAGAGCACATTTTAACCCTAAAATAACAGCTCGGTACTCGGCAACATTATTGGTTACAACACCCAGACCTTCACGTATTTTACAGATCTACATGAGGAAAAGCATGGTTAGAGTCTTCAAAAGACGAATATTTATAAGAAAAGATAATCCTAAAAGTAAAATGTATACCAATCTTCCATCTTCTGCTCGCAGCACAGCTCCGGCACCAGCTATTCCAGGGTTTCCTTTTGATGCACCATCAAAATGAAGAGTACATGCACCCTACCAATTCGAAAAAGCATTATGACAATTAACACACAGAAATTTAAGAAAATGGTTAACTGAGAACTCCACATTTGGTCAAGGTTATTCATTAACAAGAAAGTAAAATAAATTCAGCCAGCGTCTTCTGCCATATACTGCTGCATCTGCTTCATAATGTGATATAATGAAAACAAAGAAAGACAAAAGGCAACTTACACTGTCCAAAGGGGGTAATTCAGCCAGAGCAGATTCATCTATCTTGGCAAGCTTTCTAGACGGATCATCTGATATGGAAGTTGAACCATTTCTTTCCTACAAAGCATTGAACAAAGGTGTAAACTAAAAACAGCCAAAACAAAGTTAATCTAAAATAGGACCTCCAGGGCAAAGACAATAATCGACCTACAACAGTTTGCTTAACAATTGAATAGGGATTGTAGGGTTGTAAACAATATATTCATATATAATAGAGACACAACATATACATGGCAGAAAAATGTGCACGAAACTATTAAAATTCTATCTTTATCACAGATATAAATAAACACTGATAAAGTTTGTGACGAAAGCTTGCTATATACAAAGAAACTCTAATACAGAACCTCAAAGGTAACCAGAGTTCTTTATTGCTCAAAGATTGCTGTGATTCCAAAATTTACCACATTTTCCGTTCCAGACACTTGACGGGGTCTCTTTTTCGATTCATCCATAACAGATGTTCCACCTTCTGTTGGACCCTAGAATGTAACACAACATAAAATCGTAATCACGAAAGAGCACAACTTTACAACGAGAAAGAACAAGAAACAAAATTGAACTAGCCGAAAAGCGAAAAACTTTAAATCTTACTTGAAGTGGGCAAAGCACAAGCTTGCCAAAAAGATCATCTTTCAAATCTGCAGCTCTTACAGTGTAAAGGGCATTCCTAAGTCCACGGGAAGCAAGATATTCTTGAGTGCTCTTAGGCATTGAGTCCCCTTTGTAAACACTAACAGGAGGATCACATATCTAATCAAATAAAAAAAGAACGGCGAATTAACACTCTTTATTTTGTTTTAAACTCAATGCAATCACATTTAACGAATTAAGCAAAAAAAAAAAGGGAAATTAAATTAAATTAAATTTTACCGAAGAACCCAGCTGAGCCTGACAATCACTGAAACTACGATAAACGCCGACGACATCTCCTTTCCGTACTACATAGAATCCCTCCTTTTCCGGTTCCATAACCGGTTCGGAATCGGCCTTCCTCCGCCGAGACCGGGACGGCGTCGTTTTACTTCCGCCGCTGCTTCGAGCCGACGAGTACGGCTGAATACGAAATGTCGTTAGCGCTGATTCTATGCTGATCGGCTTAATCCCGGCGTAAAGGTCGAGTCTTCTCTTCCAGGAAGAAGGTCCGCAGAGAGAGCTCGTTCCTACGGCACGACCTGTCGCTCGGAAAATGGCCGCTGCGTACGACGAGACCTGCGACACGCAGTTCATCACACGGCGTTGCACGACGGGGCTTCTGGAAGAAAACGGCTGGAAATGCGGAGGTCTTCAGCCTCGGTCTTCACATCGCAGGGAAAGGAGAACGAGCGAAAGTAGTGTGGGCTTTTGGGTGGGTTTTCCGGCGGGCTAAACCCTTGCGGTACAATCTGGGGCAGGCCTGTGCAACGACGTTACGACGTCGTCTCTGTTTGGAAAGAGAGATTAAAAACTTTTCAATTGGCCACATGAAATTTTACTACAATTACAGTTTACCACCTCAAAGGAGATTTCATCACGAACTTAACAAAAAACAACGTCCCTCAAATCGAAAATTCGCGAAAAATTTGGCAATTCGGAAAATATTCCAAAGTTGAAAAGAACGACACGTCGTATATACAATTTGCGGCCTGTAGGAAAGAACGCGCGAGAGAACACCCTGCAAGCCAACGATAGCCAGAGACTCTTCGGAAGTGGAAAGCTGAAAGCTCTCTCTCCGACCAAATTTCCGATCATGAGCGCATGCTTCTGCTGCTCTCTGATTCGTTCCTCCCCTCTCTTCCACGATGATCTCATTTCCCGCCCTCTCGCGAAACTCAGTCGTCCGATTTTCTCTCTCGCGCTCAGCAAACAATATTCCGATGCTGCTGCTCCTAGATTCGTCGTCGTAAGAGCCGTCCAGCCCGGCCTCGGCGTTGTGGAACCGGGAGACGTGTCGGTGGGGGACCCGCCGTCGATTGATGTTGTAGAGGCCGGAAATGGAGAGGTTCTCGGAGTCGTTGGTGGAGTGGTGGACGCCAAATTGGAGGATGATAAACCCCTAGCTCCGGCGACTAGGGTTAGGAAGAAGAAGGAGGACGAGGGCGGCGATGATAATCGGTTCAAGCTTAGGAACGGAAGGGAGGTCGGTCGGACTCCTTTTTGCTTTTTACTGTTTTGTTTTGAGATTGTGTTTGTTTCTCGAGAAGAAGATAGAAATTTTGATTTGGGAAGAGTTACATTATGGCGAAATTGAAAGGAAGTAGTTTGGGGGAAAATTATTTTTGATAAATTGGGATAAAATTCCTTGTTTTGATAGGTGTTGGGGAGGCTGAGCAATCTCTTTTGTGTTTCTTCATTGCCATTTTTTCTGCAGGTTTTCGAAGAAAAAGCTTACATTGTGGGTGTTGAGCACAAACGCGGTACAGCGGATTCGTTTGGTGTGGAGGAATCACTCAAGGAATTGACCCAGCTAGCTGATACTGCTGGACTTATGGTTGTTGGTTCCACGTATCAAAAGTAGGTAGTTTTCGACGTGCTTCTTTGCTAGTATAGTTGATTTTTAACCTAGTTGCTACTTGCTAGTACATATGTTAAATTGTTTCTTCTTGGTCACCTGTGTTCAATCCCTAATGCCTATATGTAATGCAGACTCGTTTCTCCAAACTCGAGGACGTATATTGGGTCTGGCAAGGTTGCAGAAATCAAGAGTGCAATTAACGCATTGGGTGTGGAGACTGTGATATTCGATGATGAGCTATCAGCGGGGTATGAAACATAATGATATTATAGTTATTTCATGCATGTTTATGCTTCTATAGAGAATAGGATCCTTTGTGTATAATCCTGCATAATCTCGAGTATTATCAGTTCCGGCACGTAGACCAAATGATACAATGCAAACAAAAGTTCCTAGATTCATGGAGATATAGAACAACATATAAGTTATCATGCTTGCACATCCACCATTTGAGTCTCCAACAATTATTCCAATAATTACATATCCAATTTGACCCATGGACGAATACGCAAGCATACATGTCGTGCTTGTTCTCGTAATAGCAACGAGATTCCCCAATATCATGCTAAGAATAGCTAGGATTTCCTGATTTCTATGAGTTGGACAGTTTTATTTTTTCCAATACTTACTCCCTATCTTGGGTATCTACCAATTTGCTATGCCTACTAGATGATTTGGACCAGAATTCAATGGTCTTCGCTTTAGCATTGATTTGAGAAATATGGAGATTTTTCTCTGCTTAAATCTCAATAAAACCTTACAAATATGACTGTTTATCATATGCATGTCTCCACACACTTTCAGCATGGTGTTATTCTGAAAAGCTATATGAGTCTTTTGTTCATCAGCGTTGTTTAACTTCGAAAACACACTATTCTTGGTGAAGATACCTATTGATGCAATTTTTGAATGTTAGATTTTTTTTTTTTTTTTTTTTTTTGTCTTTTTATTCAAATGCTACTATTTTAGGCAATTGCGCAATTTGGAAAAGGCGTTTGGTGGAGAGGTTAGAGTTTGTGACCGCACTGCCCTCATTCTGGATATTTTTAACCAGCGGGCTGCAACACATGAAGCAGCTTTACAGGCAATTAATCATTGTGCTTTTAGTTATTAGTAATAATGTGTTTTGTTATATTTTAAAATATGCCAAAATCTTACTTGGTACGGTTATGTTAACTAGTAATAACTTAATAACAAAATAATATTTTCCACAATTTTGATGCTGACAATTTTCGATTGTGATGTTTCTAGGTTGCATTGGCACAAATGGAATACCAGTTACCTCGGCTAACAAAAATGTGGACCCATCTTGAGCGTCAAGCCGGTGGACAGGTTAAGGGGATGGGTGAGAAACAAATTGAAGTGGATAAGCGTATCTTACGTACTCAAGTAAGCCTGTTGAATAAATCATCAATATTTCAGTAATTCGTTGCATGATAAAGATGGAAGTTCATCGAAATGTGGTTCGTTCTTTAGCAATTGTAGATTACAAACTACAGATTCCAGTTGAGGCTAATTGTTTCTTCTTTTTCTTTTTGGTAAAATAAGATTTGTATCTGGGAATTAATTTACTTGTAAACATGTCTGTGATGCTTAGATTGGTGTTCTCAAGAAGGAGCTAGAATCTGTTCGAAAGCATAGAAAGCAGTACCGGAATCAGCGGCTTTCTGTACCTGTCCCTGTAGTATCTTTGGTAAGTAAATAGCATAAATATTGTTGAATTCACAATTATAAGGATGATTCTTTCTTTCTGTTATTGATGTTGTGCCTGTAATGCTTTGGGCAACTAGGTTGGGTACACCAATGCTGGAAAGAGTACTCTTTTAAATCAATTGACCGGAGCCAATGTCCTTGCTGAGGATCGATTATTTGCAACCCTAGATCCAACCACAAGAAGGGTTCAGGTAGCTTGATTGTACTCAGCGAATTTCTTATTTCATGATTATGAGTTATCTATGGTATAAACAACTGAATAGTCAGAGAAGCAGACATTATATTTTCGCAAACTTTTTTTTTTGATGTAGTACCGAACAGGCTTCAGGTTGCATGAAAGTTTGATTGACATGCTATACCATCTTTGATTCTTCCACTGACAATGAGCAGCTTTGGGTCCTATAATTCAGAATTTGGACTTCATGTAATCTGTTAGTTATTAACGAATCTGTTCATAGGTACTTTTGCATCAGGTCTATGTAGCATGATTTAGTCTTTTTCTAGTAGATGTGCTAGTCTTATGCTGGAAATTTTATAGTTCATGTACTATAATTTTGTGCTACTTTACTTCCATTTGGTTGTAAGACTTTCATTTTCTTCCAGACGAAGAATGGGAAAGAGTTTCTTCTCACAGATACTGTTGGTTTCATTCAGAAGTTACCAACTACAGTGGTAAGATGCTTGGACAATATTCATGAATCTGCTACCATTTCTCTCTCTTCCATTGTTCATTTTCAACTTTACTGCAAAGAAAATGTTTTTATGGATGAAAATTCAATATCAGTCCAGCTGATAATGTCTTTCACTTCTTTACTCTAAACTGCATCATACAGGTTGCTGCCTTCAGAGCGACACTGGAGGAGATATCAGAGTCATCATTGTTGGTGCATGTGGTGGATATCAGGTACAAGTTGGGAAACCTTTAAAATGATGCATTTGTGATGGCGGACATTGTTATCTTATTAGATGTTGATATCAACTTCAGTCATCCACTGGCTGAGCAACAGATAGAAGCTGTGGACAAAGTTTTGTCAGAATTAGACGTGGCCGCAATCCCAAAGTTGATGGTGTGGAACAAGGTACGGTGATTTTTTTTTTTTTTTTTAATTAATTAATTAATTTTTTTATGTCTCAGTTATCAATGCAATGTGGGGAGATAAGAAACTCTGATTATCATATCTGGGAATTTTGTGGTTAGAGTTTTTCGTTTTCTTGTTTCCTTTTAAATTCTTTGTAAAGCACAGGATCCCCATCACCTTAGGGAATTCCTTTTTCACATGTGTGGTGTTTGTTCTGTTTGCGTGCTGTGCGCTTGGGTCTTCTTAGATTAATACCGATGTTTTATTATGGATATTTTGGCATGTCCTAGGTTTCGTTCTAGTAATGGATACTCACGAGTGATGATGCATGGCTGCTTTTGTGCAGGTTGATAAGGTTAGCAATCCTGAAAGCATAAAGTTGGAAGCAGAAAAGAGAGATGATGTGATTTGCATATCTGCTCTTAGTGGTGAGGGCATAAATGAATTCTGCAGTGCAGTTCAGGAAAAATTGAAGGTACGAGTGCTTGTTTCATTGTTTCCTTTTGATACTCAATAGTGGAGTTTGTACATCTATAAAGTGAAAGCAATCTTTTGCTTAACAGGACTCTATGGTATGGGTGGAAGCCTTGATCCCGTTCGAGAAAGGGGAGCTCCTCAGTACCATACATAAGGTTGGAATGGTGGAGAGAACGGTAAGTATGCAGTGGATGTTGTTTTTTATTTAAACATTTTGGTATGTGCGTCTCGGTTTCATAATCGTTCTCAACATTTTGTATATTTACAGGAATATACGGACAAAGGAACGCTGATAAAGGCACACGTACCACTGCGGTATGCAAGGCTACTAACACCAATGAGGCAACTATGCATATCATGATCGCAATTTTCTTCATCGACGATCCACTGTTATGTGGGAGCTCGTTGCTCATCATACGAGTCCCCTCATTAATTTGACGGGTAAAAATCAGTTCACGATCGCGCACAGAGAAATTTGTAATTATTATGTACATATGTATCGTATCATGTTTTCTGTCAGTGTAAAATCCTTCGAAACTAGACAGACCACAGATGTAACTGACTTCATATCCATCTTATTGTTTCAAGTTCTTCGAATTCACACGAGTTACCGCGTGGGTTGTTAGATGTACCAGCAAATTGTAGCTGGCAGAAGACACTGTCAAAACATAGGTTTTCTGCATATAGAAGTCGAACCTAATCATCGCAATTGAATCAGTCACACTGCAACTGAAATCAGAAATGTGAAATCAATATACGTACCAACCTTATACTCCATTTTCGAGTTGTTGTGGTGTCATCATGTCAAGTTGTTCATGTTCTGCAAAATTGAAGCTCCAGTGGTATCCTGTTCAAAGGTGAAACTTTTTCCAGTTTTAGTATGTTTAGCTGCAATGGTATTCTCACAAAGAAATTAATACATCACCTTCATCTATACCCTACACCCAATATTTAAACCGCGTTGGGATTTTTGCCCAGTTATTGGTATTTTAAGCCTATCATGCATTATTAAGTGTTCAAACTTTCTCATAGTGGTGCGTGGTGCATGATTGATTTGAAATACTGCTATTGTAGGTCTCATACCGTGTAAAAAATCGTGAGGTTTGATGGAATCAAAATTCAACAATCACATGCTTTTGTAAGCGAGGCCTACAAATGACGTAGTGCAGCACTCCTGCCCCAGTTTTTTCCCATTTTGAGAGAATAATACATATTGGTTGATTAAAGTGGTGCAAACTCTTTAGCCAAAAGGAGAGAAAAATAAAAAGTACGTGGAAATATTCTTCCTTGGAGCAGGTGACACCAGAAGCACTGTCGAGCACGTAGAGATATCAAATTTGACTATGTCAATAGCTCGTTATCTAGAGTAGTAGGTGGTCCAGTGAGGATTTGGTAGGGGAGTGGTTCCATTTCTTCCATTAATTCACCTCTATAAATTAACTGGTCACCATGCAGTGAGAGTAAGCCACACACTCAAAGCCTTGGACTTGAATTATCAATGGCAGTCTTCAGAGGAACTTTCTTAGGTCTTGTAGTTGTGACATTGGTGGTCTCAGCCACGCTCTCCGCCGCTCACCCAGAAGGGTTCAACTTCGGGTGGGGATCCCGATGGGGAAGTAAACCTAGTACTGATCATCATGGTGGCGGGCATGCTCCGGCGGGTGGGTCTCACGGTCTTTTCCCACAATTCTACCACTCGTCGTGCCCTCAGGTTAACGACATTGTCATCTCCGTGCTACAGCGGGCCATCGGGAAGGACCCCCTGGTGGCAGCCTCTTTGCTGAGGCTTCACTTCCATGACTGCTTTGCTCAGGTTCGTTTTAATCAAAACTTACTTTAATATGTACAATAAAATATGCATGGCTAAGGCTGAAAATACGATATGATTGGACGACAGGGTTGTGACGCCTCGGTGCTACTAGACAACAGCACGACAATATTAAGCGAAAAGGGGGCAGCTCCAAACGTGAATTCTCTGAGAGGGTTTGCAGTGATCGATGAGATCAAAGCCGAGCTAGAAGAAGCATGTCCCTTGACTGTGTCATGTGCTGACATTGTCGCTCTCGCTGCTAGGGGATCCACTGTACTAGTAAGCAAACTAATTACACCCCCATACGTCGGTTTATACATAAAGAACGAACGTATATTACATAGCTGGACTATTACTTAATTTACTAATAAGTGATCAACTTGGTTGGTTTATGCGGTGGAATGGAATTACAGAGCGATGGACCTAATTGGGTGTTGCCACTAGGAAGAAGGGACTCCAAAACTGCAAGTGTAAAAAGCTCAAACAGCAACATTCCATCATCAAGATCCAATCTCTCAACCCTAATAACCGCCTTCAAGCGTCAAGGTCTTGATGAAACTGACTTAGTTGCCCTCTCAGGTACCCAATAATACTCAATTTTCTCTTTTGTAACCATATTATTTAAGGGATCTCTCAACTTTGGACATATTCTAATTTTCCCTTCAACTTTCAAGTTAGTTTTGAGCTTTCTATTCTTTTTTTAAACGTATTAATTTGTCCCATGTCGTCAAATATGTTGATTTCCCATCAAATTGAGGGTTATTTTTATCCAATTAATAGAAAATTTGATGAATTTGACGATTAGGCACAAATTCAAGCCTAAAGGAGCTCGGAAACAAACTGAAAGTTGAGGGGCAAATTGTTAGATGGTTATGAGAAAGTGAAACATTTTGGTTTTTTGTTACGATGTGACACTATCATTCGTATAGTAAGACTAACTTGTTTCACGAATCACGATAGTCTAAACGCGGCACAACTTCAAGTTGAACACTTAGGCATTATTAATTTTTTTTTATATCAATGCAGGAGGGCATACAATTGGGGTTGCAAAGTGTTCCACGTTCAAGAGGAGGCTGTACAACCAAAACGGGAACGACCAACCGGACTCGACTTTAGAAAGAAGTTACTACTTTGGTCTGAAATCAGTTTGCCCTAGCAGAGGTGGCGACAACAACATCACTCCCTTGGACTTTGCTTCCCCTGCAAGGTTCGACAACACCTACTTCCAGCTTCTACTTATGGGAAAAGGACTTCTCACTTCAGACCAAGTGCTTCTAACTGGAAATGGAAGGAAGGCAGCTGAGCTGGTGAAAACCTATGCAGACAATGAGCGCTTATTCTTTCAGCAGTTTGCTCAGTCCATGGTTAAGATGGGGAACATTAATCCTCTCACTGGATTGAAGGGCGAAGTCCGAAAGAACTGTCGTCGCGTTAATTAAGTAATTAACTAGCTAATTAAAGTTGATTTCGGTGTGTTTGAACTAATTAATTAAGGACTGTTTTGTTTGCAAGTTGTAACCTTCAATTCTTGTAAACTAAACTTGTGTGGTACCTTTTAAATAAGCATGATGAAGCAAGGGCCAAGTATCTAGTATTAAACATTTTCTTTTTCCAAAAAGCATACATAATTAAATTGATGAAACCCTAATCACGAACTAAACCCTAAACACGTAGGGTTCTTAGAAAAAATCAGGATCATATATCACGTAAACATGGTGCATAGAAACAACGAGCTCAGTAGAAAGAACTGCCGCGCATTAATCAAGTAATTAACTAGCTAAGTCGATTTCTGTGTGCTTAAACTAATCAAAGACTTTTTGGTTTGTAGCTTTTTAATGTTTTTGGAAACAAATTATGAAGAGTTTCCTAGTATTAAGCACTTTCTTAATTTCCCTTTTTAATTTCTCAAGGGCTTTTTTTGCTTTAATGCCTCAAATTTTCCAGATAAACGCAAAGTAAAACACATATCTTAATCATTTGTACTTTTCTTTCTTGATGGTTGATGCCTTTCCCAGGAACATACATATTCTTGTTTAAACAAAAACCAAAGTATGATTCCTTGTCCATTCACAATGGACAACTTTTCACGTGGCTTTGCACGCTTGATGGTGAAATCTTAAAGTTCTTTTTGCTAATTACCTTTGCTTCCTCTTTCTTCTTTTCTTTTGTTCCTACTCTTTCTCTAATTCCTCTTAAACATATTAAATTAAGAAAAAAACCTTATCCATCAAGTTCTAAAACTTTGAAAATATGCATTAATCGTCTCTAATTTGCGATACGACTTTGGTAAAAAAATTGTTATTGATATTTTAAAAATATCGTTGTTGATAACAACCGCTTAACATCCTAAAGTTTCAAAGTGAAGTTCTTAGAATTAGCTTAAGTGATGAGAAAAGGTGGCAATACATGATGTAGAACAACGAGTGATCCAAATCATGGAACAGTTAAACAAGCGTAAAATCAACAAAAAAAGGTTTTTAGAAATATGAAAAACCATGTCTGATGCGTTATTTTGAAGAAATGGTCAAATATGATATTTTTGAGACTTCTGAAAATATTTTATAACTTTGTATTTTATTCTTGTTTTAGAAATAGAGTTTCGTAAGAGCATTCAACTTAAATCATTATCAAATAATCCACCACTTAGAACCCTTTGATTCAATTTTAACAGAGGACAATATTCACCGCTTCGTAGTATTGTAGCCTCAATTCATTTTAGAGCTCGTTTGGAAATACTTTCAAAATGACTGAAAGAGTTTTAGGTGAAACTGATTTTGTGTTCTAAAACGCTTTTCCAAGACGCAATTAGATTTTTACTAAAGATTGGTCTAAAAATTATTTTCAAAAACCTTTTTGTTTGTTTTAAAAATACTTTCAAACGAGTTATTCTATCAAATAACATTCAAGAGTTTGATCTTACCAGATTAAACCCTATTATTTGGGCCCCACCCCCCAAAAAAAAATGGAAAAAAACATGAGCGTGAACGGGAAGCCCAAGAAATGGTTAGCCCAAAAGAAGCAATAAAGATGCGGGCGTAACTTTTAAGTCCAAAAGCCCTGTGGGGCTCTGTCGCCGTGTCGAGCCCACAGACCCACCCGCTGCTAAATTATTATCAAAATTCAACTACTACTGCAATTAAAAATTTCTCAGATTTAATCTTCTTCGATTCTTCGCCATTGTTGTTCTTGCCGTTCCAGATCGGAGCATGCAAATCCCCGAATCCGAAACTCACAGCATATGAAATTCATTCATGCAATCGTAAGAGACTGATGGGGAAGCCGGCGAATCCATGGATGGGAGTGCAGAAGAAGAAATGGTCGTTGCTGGTTCTGGCACTGTTTTCACTCTCCACCGCCATGGTTTTCTTTATGAGAACTGCGTTCGATTCGTGCAGCGCGAACACTGGTGGTCGTTTCGGTGATGGAGGTGATAGAACCGCCGAGGTGGTCCACTCCGCCGCCGGTCGAGCCGCGGGGACCGGCGGACCGAACCCTCTGGATTTTATGAAGTCCAAGCTGGTTCTCTTGGTCTCCCACGAGCTCTCCCTTTCCGGTATAAATCTTTAATTTTCTCAGAAAATCGTAAAGCAAAAAGTAAAAATGGGAAATTGAAAAAGCTTCTATCTTTTCAATTTTATTTTATTTTCCCTCTTTTTTTAACTGTAAAAAAAAAATTGGAACAGGAGGTCCATTGTTGCTGATGGAGCTGGCGTTCTTGCTGAGAGGAGTGGGGGCGGAGGTTGTTTGGATAACGAATCAGAAGGCGGAGGAGGACGGCGAGGTGGTTTACAGTTTGGAGAACAAAATGCTGGACCGAGGAGTACAGGTGACATCTCTTTCTCTACATTACTTCAATTTCTAATCAATTTTTGTTCGAACATTACATTGCGAATATATGCTCACTTGTGCTTTATGCTCTGACATTGCTTGGCTGCTCAAAATTGGTCTACGGATACGATACGAAAAATATGTATTAGGTTTCATAGGAGTTTTGCAATTTGGAATTAAGAATATATATTGCATTTATGTTACGGTTTTTTGTTGGCATTCGAGTTGGAGTGACCGAAATTTTTCAAACAATAAACTTTTATCTTTTGTTTTTGTTTTGGGTGGGGGATGTTGTTACTCGTAAACGATTGAGTACAAGTTATGCATACTGGATTGTGGAGCTGTATTTCTGCTGTCACTAAGACGGTAGTTTTTCGATTGATCATAACAAATGTGGCTGGAAAATTGGACCGTCAGGTGTAAAAGTTTTGCTAACGGATCAAGTTGCTCAAAAGTCATGTCCTTTGCCCTCTGATGTGCAATGGAGCCGGTATGTCAATGAAAAAGAGTTGATGCCTCCATCTGGGGTTGAACGTTTGGAATCAAAATTTCCTATATGAGTCTGTGCTTGCAAAATCTTAACTGCTCACTCCTCTTGATCTCGTTTTCTGTTTTTTCTACTATTGTTGTGTATTCAGGGAGAAGCATCCGTTACTATGAATATAGTTCTTTGTTTCTTGGGTGTCCCTGTACTGGTGCCTTTCTAATTTTGTGTTTTCCAATGCTTGTTAGGTCTTCCCCGCAAAGGGTCAAAAAGCTATAGATGCAGCTCTTAAGGCTGATTTGGTTGTTTTAAATACTGCTGTTGCTGGAAAATGGTTGGATGCTGTTCTGAAGGAAAATGTTCCTCGTGTTCTTCCAAAGGTGTTGTGGTGGATTCATGAAATGCGAGGGCATTATTTCAAAGTGGAGTATGTTAAGCACCTCCCTTTCGTTGCAGGTGCCATGATTGATTCACATACAACAGCAGAATATTGGCAGAATAGGACTCGGGAACGTTTAGGGTAAGAAGAATGATACAATGCATAAAATCGCATGCATCATATTCTATCATTCATTCATACTTATTCTGGAAAGCTGTGTTATCATTTGTGGATGATATGTTTCGTTTGCCCTCTGTAGGATCAAAATGCCTGAAACCTATGTTGTTCACCTTGGAAATAGCAAGGAGCTAATGGAAATCGCTGAAGATAGTGTATCCAGGAGGGTTCTTCGTGAGCATGTCCGAGAGTCTCTTGGAGTTCGAAATGAAGATCTACTCTTTGCCATCGTTAATAGTATGCTTTCTTTGTTATTTGAATTCCTGCAACTAAACCTCTGTATTTTGAATTTTGAATTCCTGCAACTAAACCTCTGTAATAAGTTTCCAGTTTTGTTCCTTGTTTATCTTTGCAAATCTAAAGGACCATGTGTGGTAAATCTGCAGGTGTTTCGCGTGGAAAAGGTCAGGATCTATTTCTTCGTTCCTTTTATGAAAGTCTGCAAATTATCAAGGAGAAGAAATTGCAGGTGCCATCTATGCATGCAGTAGTAGTGGGAAGTGATATGAGTAAGCAGACAAAATATGAATCAGAACTGCGCAACTATGTGATAGAGAAAAAGATTCAGGATCATGTTCACTTCGTGAATAAAACCCTTACTGTAGCTCCTTATCTGGCATCGATTGATGTTCTTGTTCAGAATTCTCAGGTACAATGGAATAAGTGTTCTATTCAGGTTTTGGTTCGTGCATCATCACATAAGAAGCTTAACTCTGTAATCATGTGCAGGCCCGAGGAGAGTGCTTTGGAAGGATAACTATTGAAGCAATGGCTTTTCAGCTGCCTGTGCTGGTATTTCCTTTACTACACAACTGTACTTCGTTTTCCGATGCATCATCTACTAGTTATTTAGATCTCTTTATCTTAATTTCTCGGATCTTACTTTCCAATTAATCGTGTTCTCGAATTCATTTGAGCGGCTCCAGGGCACAGCAGCTGGGGGCACCATGGAGATTGTCGTGAATGGCACGACAGGACTGCTGCATCCTGTGGGTAAAGAAGGTACGGCATCACTGACAAGTAACATTGTGAAATTGGCGACGCATGTAGAGAGGAGGTTGACAATGGGCAAGAAAGGTTACGAGAGAGTGAAGGAAAGATTTTTGGAACCACACATGGCACAGAGGATCGCTTCGGTTCTAAGGGAGGTGTTGCAGAAAGCAAAGAGCCGCTCCGATTCTTAACTTGCAGGACACTTTTGCGATTCGTTTTGTATCATATGTGGCAGATTAGGTCAATTTAAGAGAAAGTGATATGGATACCAGGAAATCAAAATCTAGAGAACATCTTGGACATTGAATTCGAATTCATCAATGGTGTATACATATAATTTTGTATAATGTAAATTTGTTTGCGTATGAAATGTTATGAAAGTGATGACGGAGTCATTTTTCAGTGTGTTTCAAATATTAGACGTAAAAAAAAAAAAAAAAAAAAAAATTTAACGAAACACTTCCAACATTGTTCATTTTTAGTTAGTTGCATGTGCTCTCACATCACCTAATGAGAATTGTCCACGTGTTAGCTGTTACGCACAATATCCACGTGCTAAGGTTTACGCACAAAAGTCGTCACACGTGAATGAGCGTTTGGGCTACACTGAGCCCAACTGGCCCAAGTAAACATACGGCTTATGAATAACCCGCATCATCTCCAAACGGGCCGGGTTTGTCCTGATCCACAGCCCGGGCCGTCAGCCTCAGTGTTTGTTTCTCTATCCGGCTCGTTGCTTTCTCTCTCTCATCAATCTTCACCCTTGAGAACAAGATACAGTCTCTCATCTCTACCAACGGCAACAAGAAATTAATCGGAAAACCCTAAAAAATTCGATTGAAGTTGCGCAATCTTAAGAGGGTGCTGCGGCTCTGGTTCCCCAGCTTCCCTGTTCTAGGTAATCTCTTTTCCTCATTTATCATATGAAATTAGGGCTTTTGGGTAGCACATAATTTCATTTCTCTGTTTTTTCCTGGAACTAAATTTAGGGTTCATATCTTATTCCTTATTCCAAGCTGATGGATTTCTGCATGTTTTGCGTTTACTGGGCTGCATTGTAAATTAGTAACTGTAGAAATTGGAGAAAAATCATATCCCTTTATCTGGATTACGTTTTCCACTTGTGAAATTGGGTTTTATGGAATCAGGTACTTGGCAATGATTCCGAATGGATGCGCCATGCCCGCCGGGTGCAGTTCTGTGAATTTCGGGGTGTCATGTGCTCCATGTTTTCGAACTAAGGCGGCTGCTTTTCCATGCGTCAGTTCGTGGAGAGCTCGGCAGGAAGGTAAGTTGCGGTTGTATATTGCATTGTGAATGTCCTGATTGTTTAATTCCGGTATGCGATTATGTAGTTCTCAATCCTATCTGTTTATCTGCTCAATTGGAATTTGACGGACCATTTGCCAATCCATATGATGAGTCGAGTCATGGTTTTGATTCGACATTGTTTTTGTTGTAGTTATGCCACCTCTGAACCCTTGTGCTGCATCAAGCCCATTTTTAAGTGGGGATCACGGTAGCTTGTTACGTGCAATCCCCGCATTGCAAAGAGGATGCAAATCTCGTATGGCCCCTCAAGCATCTAAGGATGTTCCATACAGTTTTCGGTTCCCTCCCATGACTAAGAAGCCAAAGTGGTGGTGGAGGACGTTAGCCTGTCTCCCCTATTTGATGCCCCTACACGAGACATGGATGTATGCTGAGACAGCGTATCATCTACACCCTTTCCTGGAGGACTTTGAATTCTTAACATACCCTTTCCTCGGAGCCATTGGAGGTTGCCCAGCTGGTTCTTGATGGCATACTTCTTCGTTGCATATCTGGGAGTTGTGAGGAGAAAGGAATGGCCTCATTTCTTCAGATTTCATGTGGTGATGGGCATGCTGTTGGAAATTGCCTTGCAGGTGATAGGGACTGTGAGCCGTTGGATGCCACATGCTGTCTACTGGGGTAAGGTTGGGATGCACTTTTGGACGGCCATTGCATTTGCTTACCTTTTCACCGTGTTGGAAGCCATACGTTGTGCTCTTGCTGGCATGTACGCTGATATCCCCTTCGTCTGCGATGCTGCGTATATTCAAATTCCATATGACTAATAGAGCGAACGAAAGCCGAAGAGAAACTCTTAAAGAATGTTGTCGTTGCATTGTTTGGAATTTGTTGTACGAGGTGAAAACTTGTTAGCCGAAGTATTTATTTTCGAAAATCCGAAATTAGTTTTTGTTAAAGCAGCATTTGTGTAAGTGTTGTAATTGAATCAGCTGGGTTTGTGCCCATTTGGATTTCCTGTACTTTTTTATTTCTGTGGGAGGGTGGGTTTGGGTTGATTTGCACTCTGATATTTTGGATGGTTGGTTGGGGCAGAGAAATTCATTTGCACCTGGGATGCAGTGATTGGGTTGAGACAACTTGAATTCGTCCATACTCAATCTGATTTTTAAATTGATCGCGTGAGTTAGAATGAACTTTGAACCCGCTTAAACCCAACTTGACTTTAATTTTATTTTTTTAATTAGGGTAGGGTTGGGTTGACCTAGCTAGCTTTACCTCCCCAGTTCATTCAAATACAATTCAATTTCTATCTTGAGGTTGTGTCTCACTTTTTGCACATATTACATAACCACTGTCAATCGTTTTGACCATTCTGTGAAAAAAAATAAAAAAGGTTAATTAGAAGAAACCACTAGTTCAACTGGAGGGTTTGATTTGACAAAAATGCTCTCAATTCAACGGAGTTTTTTCACGGAATGATCAAATGATTAACGGTGGGCAATTTCAGTGACCACTTCTATCAATTTTTAAATCTCAGCGACCAATGCGATGAGTTATGCCAGTCTTATGACCATTTTGGTTAAAGATAACCGTTACATGACCCACCTCATATTATATAAGTCATGTATCTCACCCGATCATTCATTACTATGTGCTTTTAACTTTCACGTACAGAAATTATGAATCCGCTTGAGATAACATATCCATAACATCTTGTGTGCATAGAATTTCTTGTCATGGTTAGGGCGCGATCGTCCGGGAATTAAGACAGTTAAATTTCACTAAAATAATTTCATTAGCACCTGAAGTATTATAGGGGAATACCTTAATATAGTATTTGAATGAAATTGATTAAATTTATTTAATTAATTAGCAAATGGATGATGAAGGCTCCATTGTCGTCCTCTCCCCAACGGGAAAACAAAGTATCATGCGCGATATTCCAACCTAAAACGATGTTTCTACTTTGTAGATAAGAAAACCCTACACACTTTCATAGAACAGTGTCGATGACTTCAAAGATGTAAACATCAACCTATTAAAATTTTGTTGAATTAACATTGTCCCCGACTCCCTAAGATAAGATTCATATCGTTATTAATCTCACATCACAGCACCGTTTTTTTTGTGTTGCCTTTCATGCTTGTTAGTTGCAATCCATTTTCAACATACTGCATTTTTTATTCACTACTCTCTGTTGGTAGTAATACTCATCGTCTTATTTATCACCGCTATATGAATTTAAATTTTAAAATTTGTGTTGTTTACACTCATCTAACAGTAATGGTGAGCATGATGAGTAGAAATATTCCCTTTCCAAAAAGCATATAAACTGAAGAAAAAAAAAACAATAAAACCAAATCTTACGTTGGAGAGGTGGCCCCTACTTCATTGTCATCAAATTAGTTTGGATAGTGTTATTCACACACCTCTTTTACTTCTCACACACTCTTGTTGATTCTTATCTATTGATATTTTTCAATCCATTCGATCCAATGATCAAAATTTTCTAGACACCGCCATTAATTTAATGGGTTAAAAATAAAGAAAACTAACGAAAAGTTCAAAAAAAAAACTTTAGTTTAATGAAAAATGACAAATAAATGTGTAGTAAATAGTACCAGGAAAAGGTAAAAATATGATTTTTTTTGTTAAAGTGAACAATACCGAGAGTGTTTCGTTAAAACTCTCTTAAAAATATCAAATGGAATGGAAGTTCCTAAGGGTTGGTTTGGAAAGGCATGGGTGCATTTTATATCACATATTGTAAAACCTAACTTCGATAAACTCAATTTACATCAGCCAGTCCAGTTATTTAAAAAAAAAAATTCAAAAAGGGGACAACCGGTGACAAGTCACGGTTATCTACCATTTTTGGAGGTCATGAAGACTTATAGAGGCATTTCAACCTCCCATTGGTCACAAGTCTAGCTTCCACACCAACAGCGAGTTTCTAACCCGAGACCTCCAGTTTTTAGTTTGAATGAAGCATCGCAATCCGTCATTTACTACTGGGCCACTAGCTCGTGGTTCCACTCAAGTTATTGACTATGATCGTTTGAATATTGGCTACACTAGAGAAATCTTAAAACATGTATATGTTTTTTCTTTTACATTTACGATCATTTCATTACGTGAGAAGAACGTTTTTATTTATGAAATATAATAAGTTTAGTCGTTCACGTTTTCTCTCAATACAGAAAGTGAAGGTTGACTGTTTTCGAATGTTAAAAACGGCTCATTATATTCGTCATACCCAACTAAGGATTTCTTTTTTTCTGGAGGAAATCTATATAACGTAGATTAGTTATTATAGTCTGCCCTAGCTTGTTTCTTGTTGTAATTAACTATTTACTTTAAAATGTAAACAACGACCCAAAACCCTTTGCTTACAATTAGATGATCACTAACCTCTGTTCAAAAACAATAAGCCATTTATTTATATAAATAACTGGCTTCCCACTACACCAAAAGTCATCAAATATGATGGAGAAAATGATAATCTCCAGTGGCTTTTAATTACTGGCTGCTAATAAAAAGATGCTTTCATCGTCTTCTTGTTTAAACTTAATTATAATTACAATATTATACAGCGAAGGCGTGACAAATGATTTCATCATCCTTCTTTACTTCCTCTTTTTCTAAGATAATATTCCACCATTGTTAAATATATTGTCCACCTAATTGACCAACTTCCTTCAATGACCCTACGTAATTTCATTACTATTTACAATATGATTTTTCTTTTCTTTTCAATACTACGATATTTACATTAAATGAGAACTTTGATTCAGTTATACTATGATTAGTCACAAAATTTAGTATCGAATTCGTTATCTACGATATTTAAACTATTCCTCCTAATTAAGTGAAAAAAAATATCGTTAAACTGTAGTTATATGCTTGTGAAATTACAATACTATATACATATATAGAGCTTAAAATTAAAGTTAATTACTACTGGTTTTATCTTGGTTAAATCGAAAGGATGAAAGCTCCTTCCCTCTCGTCGTCTTACTTTTCTTGTTATCTTTTTCTATAAAATTAATTAATGGAAGGACCAAGGAAAAGAAGTTCCATCGCACACGCTATTTAGATATTTTAATATATGTAGAAATTACGTGGATAATCAAGTGTCTAATAAATTAAAATAAAACAAGAGGGACATTCCATGTCAACCCCATCTGAATCGAGCAGAAAGAAAAGAATCTGGGTTTTCCTTCTTGATTCTGAAAAATCTAGCATATGCTAGAGTTTGAAGTTCCTACTTTGCCTACCTTCCAATTCCAATGTTGTCCCTCCATTTTATATTTTGCTCCAATCACACTTTGTTGAGGTTATAGGTGCACCATGATTACGAGGAATTTTTTAGTGGAAAAGTATAGGTAAATTACGTGGGTGTTATCCGTTCAAAATTTATAGTATATACGGATGATGTTATACAGCTAGAATATAACATTGATTAATAATCTAATATTCTAGGTAATACCGTCATCAATATGATCTAATTACCTAGATAGTAAAGAAATAGTTCATTCATGCTTTGTATCATTAGTAGCAAGATCACACTCTTATCTTGTGTTATTAATCTACCAATTATACGTCGTTTACTTTTTTTTTTTTAACACGTAAAAATTATATAATTTTTTATCTGATAATTTCATTTATTCAAATCTAGATTCCTGATTGGGTGGAAGCAATATCAACGTGCAAGTGTCCTGATCTTTTAGCAGAAATCTAAATCACAAAATACAATGAACCAAGGCAAAATCATTAGTCAAATGAGAAGAGATCTGAGATTTCTTCTACCAAGGCTACCGAATTAAGTGATCCAGTTCTTTAAAATTTCATCAAACGGTTCATCTGTTTTAACTATTTAAAGTTATAATAATTTTTAACCGTTTAATGAAATTTCAAAAATTCAGATTACTTGATCCGATGATTTTGATGAAAAACATACGAAGAAGATATCTTCTCTGGTCAAATAATCAAATTGGAGCTAATAGCCAGCACCGATTGGCACAACATCCAAACATGGAAAAGAGGACATTTTGTCTCCTATGATATGTTATTAACATATACATACATACATATATATATATATATATATATATATATATATATATCACCGAGAACAGAGCAGTAAAATACATGTGAGAAAGGATTTGGATCCTCTCCGGATCCCTTCCTGTAGATCCCAGGGATCAAGACACAAGGATTGTTTATCAAAGATCATGTGGTTATAATTAAATATTTTTTACTCAAAACGATATTGTTTTACTTTTAAAAATATAAAAATCATTTAATTGTGACCGCACGATCTTTGATGAACGATCCTTATGCCTTGATCCCCGAAATCCCTAGGGAGGGGATCCGAAGAGGATCCAAATCATATGAGAAATTCATAAAAATATTAATCTACCAATTATATGTCGTTTACATATTTTTTTAACACGTAAAATTTATATAATTTTTTATCTTATAATTTCATTTATTCAAATCTAGATTCCTGGGTGGAAGCAATATCGACATGCAAGTGTTTAGATCTTTTAGAAGAAATCTAAATCACAAAATACAATGAACCAAGGCAAAATCATTGGTCAAATGAGAAGAGATCTCTTCGTACCTCTTTCATCAAGATTACCGGATCAAGTGATCTGGACATTTGAAATTTCATCTAACGGTTCATCTGTTTTGACCTTTTAAAGCTATAATAACTTTTATCCGTTAAATGAAATTTTAAAAATTCAAATTACTTGATCTAGTGATTGGCACAACATCCAAACATGGAAAAGAGGACATTTTGTCTCCTATGATATATTATTTGTCATATTATTAACACACACACACATATATATATATATATATATATAATCAAGAACAGAGCAGTAAAATACATATGAGAAATTCATAAAAATATTTAGAAATACCAAATAAATAATTCAAAACAAGCCAAAAGAAAACATTTATTTGAATCTCCACCGCAAGTATTTGAACGTTGGAGGAATTTGATGGTTTATAAAATGATGGACCCAATGAGGGACCAAATAAATATGAAAATTCATTTAATACGAAGCAAATCATATCTTTCTTCTTGTCTTAAGGAAGATAACATGGCGACAACCACAAGTTCTCCATTTATTTTCCCTTTGTTTTCCCTTTTGGAATCTTTTATACGTATACTTGCAATGAAAGAAATACTATAAAAAAAAAACTCAAGTTTTGTATGAACAGTTTGAAATGTTAATACGAAAATGTATCAAATCTCACTCTTATACTTATATACATGCATATATGCAGGAGTGCTCACATGTGCACAATTAGTAACTTAACACGATTCTAATCAATTATTTGGGACCATCTCACAATTAATTGAAAAACGTTTCCTATAAAATTTACTCAGAATAATTTAAAAAAAAAAGTTTAATTTGAATGAATTTTTGTAAAAGCTACCGTATAAATAAGGCTTTTAAAAAAGCCTTATTTTATGGTATTAGTCTTAACCAAAATGTGGAGAAAGGTACAACATTAGATAGTAAAGATGGTCAAATATTATTCACATTAACATTATCAATTGTTGGAGGACTAACCTAATTCAGTTATTATTATTTTTATTTCCTAATTGAGTTATTTTGTGTCAAAGAAAACTAATTGATTATTGGAAATTTATTGAAAATTCAAGTAATCAAATTTTCTTACACAAACGATAGCGTTATTAGTTTAAATTGTTAATTATTAGAGGAAAAATAAAATGGATGAGGATCAAACTTCCGTTTTGATGTCCTAAACGTAATTACATTTCGCCATTGCAACAACTGCCATAAAGCGTTATCTGCCCGTATTGGACGAACCAAATAACTTGTGGAAGTGTAATAATTACTTGTTTTAACTTGCAACCAACTCTCTGAAAGCAACCAACACTCGGGCGTGATCTTTCAATTTAGATATTGTCAGACATTTTGAGTGTTGATTAACAAGTCAAAAGTACCACAAATATTCAAACAAAAACAAGAAAAATAAAATAAAAATAGTACACAAACAGTCGGCAACTCATTTAATATTAATATAGAAATTTACATCGATAATTTTAGCCTTCACACCATAATACACATTACAAATTCCAGAACCCACTTCTCCGTGGTCCCTCTCACTTTTGCCCTTCTCCATCACAGTGATCATATTTTGGCTTCTAATATTAATATCTGATTACAAAAACAAAAAGGAGTTGTTCTCTTCCTCTCCACTCATTTGAGACTATGATGCAATTCCAAACACCACCAACCACTAATAACCGACGTCACTGTGACGGTATTCAGAACCAATTACATCGACGGTATTCAGAACCATTTACATCTTACTAAATAAAATAACTAAAACACATAACTATACGTTAATGGTTTCAGAATACCGCTGAAGTGACATTTTTTCGGTGGGTATAAATTTTTTTGTTGTCATCATGGCCTTTGATTAATTAATAGTATTGGTGAAGCATGTCAGCAGTGGCCATGATTGGTTGGTTCACATGAAGCATATTCCAAGGGTTTATTAAACTGTTGTGATCGGCAACAGGGGTGGTTTCAAAGCCTGCGCCGTGGCCGACGCCGCCGTTGATGTAACCGAGGATCTCGTCGAGGGACTCCAGTCTCTGGCTGAGCTCCCCCATCTGCGCTTTCAAGACCGAGTTTTCCGACTCGACATTCATGAAGTGCTGGGTGGTGATGTTTATGCTGGTCAGGATTTGGTTGTTCTCCTTCCGCAGCTGGGCGACCTGCGCCATCAGATCGTCCAGGTGCTGCTGCTTCCGCATCCGCGACCGCCGCGCCGATTCGCGGTTCGATTGCATCCGTTTTCTCTTTCTTTGATCCACCGGACGATGCAGATCCCCTTCAGAGGCAAAGTTCTGAAGCTGAGCGGAACCAGAGGAATTTCCGCTTGAAGAAGCCATAGAAATATATGAAGACTTAAATAAAAACTTAGATTAAATACTAAATTATTCAGATAATTATACACGAATATATATAATCTAGGTATATCTTAGGGAGCTAATTTCTGAGAAAACATAAAACCAGTAGAGGAAGATGACGGAGAAAGATTGGACAAGGTGGGTTCTGCGCCGGAGGGAGGAATCTACCATAAACCCGGAACGAAGGATTTCACTGAGAACTGGCGACATTAATCTCAAACATCAAGATCCAGATTTTCAGCATTTATATTTCCAGATTTTCAGCGGAAACACAAAGACCCAAGATATAACAGCAAAAACCCAGAAATCAACACCCAAAATAAAGCAAAAAACACCCAGTAATTGCTGGAAAAAACAAAAAACAAAACCAACAGAGCCTCGGCCCTTAAGAAAAACAAAGAACACAGAAGGAGAATTTAATCTCAGGGCCTCAGACTACGATACGTAAAATAAAGAGGAGGGAGAGAAGGAAGGAGGAAGAGGTTAGTGAAGGAATGGAGGGGTCAATTTATAGAAGGAAAATGCAATAAAAAATCCCAAAAGAAAACCGAAAGAAATTGGAAATTAGATTAAAAAATGAAGAAAATTAGGAAAAAAAAAGGTTGAAAAAGTAAAGGGCCTTGGAATCTCCTCCAACCATTCTTCTACAAATTGAGGGGTTGGTGGGGAGACTGATAAGGCATGTGAAGTGTGTAAGAAATTTCCACAACTGTCCAATTCCAGCTGGTGGGCAGTGACACCATAAACTATTTTTTTATTTTTTTATGAATTTTACTGACCGGTTTTCCTCTTTTTTTTTTTTTTTTTTTTCAATTTTTTGTTGTTGAGTACTTGAGAAAAATACCCCGTATGTGACAGTATTTTACGTATAAGCATCAAAATTGTTACGATTAATTATTTTTATCAACATTAGCATATGCCCCATACTTTGTGCATGACAATAGTTTTTAGTTTTATTTTAAAATGGAAAGGAGAAATGGAGAAAAAAGAAATGTGGATTAGAGAGAGAGAAGTTTTTTTTTCCCCTTCAAAATTAGAGGATGATAGAATCACCTTTGGGTGAGGTTTTGAAAAAAAAACTGTAAAATTTAGTTTGTGTGAATTTACTATACTGTCCATGATTTTGTTTTGTGATAGAAGACAAAATTATTTTTTTACCCTCTTTTGATTGACAAAGAAAATTTTATTAATGTAGTTAAGATTTTAAAGATTAGTTTATAGAATATTATTTAATTTAGAGATATTTTTTTGTGTTGAACAAAGAGACAGTTATAATAACAAGTAATCTTACGGTGAATCATCAATAAATTAATTTTATAAAATATTATTTAATTCATTTTTATGTTGAACAGAACGAAAGTAAGCAATAATCTTATGATAAATCGTCAATTTTATTTCATTTATTATTAATGAGAAGTTTTTCAACTTGTATGATTTATTTTTGGAGATTACGCTTATTGATATAAGAAAATAAACGATGATTTTTACCTCTCTTTCATCGTTAAGTACCACCAGATTTAACCGTCTAGCTAACAGTTCGTAAGCATGAGAAGTTATGCCCTTTTTATTGATACAGGATGGAACGTGACGCCTGAATGTAGCAGACGGAATCCCAGGGATGAGGGTGGTATAAAAGTAGTAGATTAAGGACAATACCGTCATTTAAATTATTTTATGCTGGACGCAAATCTGATTTTTTTTTTTTTTTATTTTTTTATGAAGAAGAAATTTATTAAAACTTAAAACCTCTAATAGCATTTCTAAAAGAGATATCAAAGATTCTAGGTGGAATGTTATTGTGCATATTTGATATCAAAAGTCTATTCAACTGAAGTGTTATTTGCTAACTGAATTTGAAGACTTTGTGATTTAGAGTCAAATTTGACATCAATATTAAATTTATTTTTAATTCATTTTAATAGTGGATCCCTTATTCCACTAACATTTCAACCATAGAAAATTTTGTTTCAACATTTTTTTAACAAATGCAACCATTTAAAACTCTATTTAAATAATAAAATAACATTTAACAATTCGGTTGGAAAAATACAAAATTTAACATAAAACTTCAAATTATCACATCAGCTATCAATTGTAATTTGACTCTTATAATTTGACATTTCTTTTGGAGATGGTCTAATACAACCGTTTCCAATACACTCAAAATTAATGGTCTCCATAGCCGAAAATGAAAGACAATAATCTCAAAAATGAGGGTTGGCAACAATGAGGCCTATATGAACTAATGTGTTCGTCACGAAATTTACTTCCCTGTAAATATGCTTCCAATTGATATGCTAAAATCTAGAAGCCAACCATTTAATATCGTCTATAATAAGTTTAAGATGCCAAGGGAGCATCCAAATATGTTGCACCACCTAAACTCAAATCTGAAATTTACTGGGCATACCATCGATTCACTATTCCATTCTTAATGTCTTTCCGAATTTTTCTGCTAGTGCATCGTTTCTACCATTGGAGCCGCCTATTTTATTAGAAAATAGAAGTCGGCTCAGATGTTAATATATATTCCTATATTAGTGCTTTTCGTAGAGTATACTTATGTGTGTTTAACTACTAATTAATCATTATTTGACGAACAAACACAGTAATCTCAATGCTTCCTCTACAATATTCGACAATAATCTCCTTTGACTTTGTTTATTAATTCCTAGACTGGGGTCCCCAAAATCTTGAATGTAATATAATAATGTTTACAAGATCGATCTAGTGCAGTCTGCAATGTCTCTAGGTATTGATCAAAGGGCAATTTCTTGGATGTAATCCGAAAATAGTTTTTTTTTTTCTTTTCTCTATCTTAAGATTATGAGTGATATTATGAGTGAATTATTTGTCACTAGCTAGGACAAGGCTTAATGAATGTATGCATGGGATCAAACTATATTTGTTTGGGTTAAGGTTTTGGATTATAATAAATTTAATTTGTTTCGGGTTCCAAACATCAGAAATTCGTCGGTGAGAGACTAACCCTACCAAATTAGTGGGTTTTCTGCATAAATATTAGGTGTTTTGTGCACACAGGCAAAGAACCTTTATCTTTCTACCCACAGGAAGATGCAAAAACAACTAATATGATAAAATATTACAGATGCATGGTGAGGTTGATATTCGAGAGCTTGCAGTTGCAGACAATAATGGTGTACTGCTTCTCGTGGGCACCAAATGATAGTAACAATAATAGTGCGGGAGACGAGAGAGAGTACAGCGCCTATGAGTTTGAGGCACGGAAAAGGATAAAAAGGAACAAAGTGGGGTGCATGGTGGGGGGAGAGCTGGGTTCCACTCTCCACGAGTTTGCACCAGAGAGGGGAACATAAATTAGGGTTTCAGGAAAAAGTTATCCTGCTCGTTGTAGCCTTTGGGAGCAAAGAGATCGAGCACCAAATAGTCTTATTGGCTTATGTAGTTGACGTCTCTCACGCTTTATTCTGATTCAGAGTGAAGACGTAACTTTTTAATTTATTACAAATTAATCGACACATTTCTTTCTTCACTTGCAACGGAAGAAAAGTGTGATAGTAATCCACACTGAAAGATATAAAAAGGAACAAAAAGGAAAAGTGAGAAGGACAAGAATCCCATGGAAAATTTTCTTCTGATCTTACAATGATCCCTCTTTGCAGTCTACGGTAATGATAAGGTTATCTTTCTATTTGTAACCCTTCAACTTGTATATCTTTTGCTATTTTATTACATTTCTGTGAAGCTGGCAATTGTTCCGGACAGTGACAAATTGAACCGAAAGTGATGCCACGGTCCACATAATCCAGTTTAAGATAATGCGATACACAGATTAAAATCTTGCAGGTGAGAATAAATCATACTTGTTGAAGCTTATAAAGCGTTGTGAGTGTTGGTAGGATCTCTATGTTCATTGCGATTCTGAAATGACATCGGGGCCCCTCTGGCTATAAGACATGACCATGAACAAAGATGAAAGTATAATAATTTCCACTGTTTAAAAACTTGTATAAGTTGAAATATTGTAGCCAGATAGAGACACACAATTACAACTTGAAGATTTCGTTGTATTCTCTCTCTCCTTTTAAAAATAAAAAATTAAAAAAAAAATTGAACTAATGAATTGCTACAGTAGAGTTTTATGCTAATAATACAACATACGTAAAAAATTTTCATAGAACATTGTATCATTAGTACTCAAGACAACGCACTCGTACTACGGAATTCTTTCTCGTGAAAATGCCAGAGCATTCATGAGGAAAAGAAAAGAGAGATTTTGGATACGTCAAGAACATTGTAGAGAGAGGGAGGGAGAAAGTAAGAGAGGGAAATTATTAACAAAGCGTTTTCTCGAGGAAGACATGCCGATTACTTTCGACAGTTGTACCGCTCAAATTGAGCCACATAGAAAGAAGTTTGTTAAGCGTGACATCTTTGGATAATTACAAAACATAAAAATCGAGTTCGAGGACGAAAGCAAGTGAATCACGATTCATGAGAACAAAATCATAGACCAGACCATTGTCGCCGTGAATCTTACAAAGTTTCCGCGTACACAAAAAAAAACAAGTTGGTATAGCTAGATTCGCTAGCTAGTGTAGTCTGTGTACAAATATTTGGTGGCATTGTAGTTTTGTTGATTACGAGTATTCATCTTCGAACTCGACCTCTGGTGTTCGTTTTTAACCTTAACACTGTCCTTTTCATAAAAGAAAGTTAATCAGTATAAAGCAAATATGCAATTAAATTCCTTGTTTACTTTTGTTTGCCTTCTGTTTTCCATCATTTTCTTCTGTCGTATGCTATCTCATCAAGTGGACCTAAATTTTCGGTTTTCGTTGCCAGAAATCCAAACAATACAAATAATAATAATACAGACTGTCGTTCATCCAAAAACAATTACGTGATGGAGCAAATTGAAGAAAAGGTTTGGTAGGGATGCCAATACACATTTAAAAAGGCCAATCAGAGCATCGTTTGAGCCGTGATTCTCCAAACAGCATTAGTACTCCAGGTACCATATTTGGTTCTTTTTTTCTTTTTATTGTTAGGTATCGATCAAGATATCTCGAGAGAGATCGAGATAGAGAGATCAAGTTGGTTCGTAGGGTCCAGTAATTCACCCTTTTGCAAAGTGGTCCCCAAAACTGATTTTATTTGGTTTTGGTTTTTTTTTTTTTTCCTTCTGTAGCCATGATTTTCATATTCTTTTTTCTTTTCTTCTGCTTAAACTGTTTAAAAAAAAATGGAAATAAAATAAATAAAACATGGAAACAGTCTTGATTCGTGCATCTTTTCAATTTGTGCTGTTTTTCTGACTTTCTTTAGCTTTTGAGGTTGTAGGTGCTTGTGCTTTTTTCATTATAAGTCTCTATGAAAAAAGTTGGGACTTATCAA